AAATCCACGAAACCATGGAGGTTTTTGTCGTGGGAAAATCATCGAACAACTGGGTAAACTGGGTGGATTTATGGCCATTAACTGCTCCATGTATGTCAGATTTTCCTTGTAAATGTCGGTACTAATACCAGACTTGACACTTGGTTGATGTTGAGAATGTCGTCCCTGGGCCTGGAACCATTGGTTTTATCCGGTTTTTGGTGTTGTAAATTGGGGGTTACGACATCCATTGACCATAGTAGCAAATGACATCATGAGATCAGCAAAATTTGGCCCCAGGAGAAGAGACCGAAGGTTGAGACCATGGAGGTGGACGACCGTGAGGTGCCACCTTCGAAGCACCAGATTTTTTTTTTAAAGGTAGTAAACTTCGTAAACCAATGTAAACCAAAGTATAGAGTATTCCTACACCATCCATTTATCTATTTTTTTTGGGGGGAGGCCCAATGATATCACCCCAGTCATTTTTGTGCTGGAAAAAGTGACGAAGTAACAGTTGACCTCCAGGTGAAGGCACTGAAGACAGCGCCAAGTGAGGAGGCCCATGTTGTGCAGAGTATGCTTCCAGAACCGAAGGTCGAAGAATCAAAGGAGCCGAAGGCTGAAGCCAAAGTTGAAACCAAAATTGAACAGAAGGATCCGGAAGGTAAGGAAGAAGCAAAAGAAGCAACTGAAGAGCCAAAGGTTGAGCCCAAAGTGGACCAACCGCCGAAGGTCAAGGACTTGAAGGAAAGTGAGCCAGAGCCGTCGCAGCCGTCGCAGCCGTCGCAGCCGTCGCAGCCGTCGCAGCCGTCGCAGCCGTCGCAGCCGTCGCAGCCGTCGCAGCCGTCGCAGCCGCACAAGGGTTGCTTGGATTTCTTCAGCGCGGGTCCAACAAGGTGAAGCAATGTTAAACATCATCTTTTTGGTAGTTAAACAGGGGTTAATGTCAAACCCAGAATAAAAGCCCCCTGACATCCCTGACTAGAAAAAAACATGTGTTTCTTTTCCAAAAGAGTGTTCGAAACTATATTTAATCGGTACCCCCCGAATTATAAACGGGTGGTTTATTCATCCTGGGTTATAAACATCAGAACTCCTTATCTCTCTCTATGATTCGCGTGATTGCCATGCTGCACATATCACTGGCAGGCATCAATTGGTTTCAAATCCTTGACTTCGTCGAAACACATTGGCGAGACACAAGCAACATGTTAGTGGATTCGCCACTTTTCCACATACTGTCATGGTCTGTCATGATCTGTCATGTGTGTGTTCAATACAATATAGGAACCCCCAAAAAGACAGACAGAGTTCAATTTGCAACTGTATATATATATATATATATTCGTTGTTGAAACGGAGTTCTTGTGGTATGTAACATATTACAAAAGGTGTAATATTCATATATATATATAGATATTATACATACATATTATCTGCACAAATTATAGCGAGGACAGCCGAGGCAACGAGGCATGTTGCAGGAATTAGCGCGGTCAGCCCTTAATTTGCTCATCAGAATTAGCCGACCTCGACGAGGTAGCCTTGCATTGGTTCTGTTGCATGCTTGGGCTTGGCTAGAAAAACTTTTTTGGGGGCCAGAGGCCGGTCAGCAGGCAAGGAAGGAAAAAAAACTGCCCCAAAAAGTTGTATTTTCTATCGCCAGAGGCCGGTCAGCAGGCAAGGAAGGAAAAAAAACTTTTCAGGCCCCAAAAAGTTTTATTTTCTATCGCCAGAGGCCGGTCAGCAGGCAAGGAAGGAAAAAAAACTTTTCAGGCCCCAAAAAGTTTTATTTTCTATCGCTAGAGGCCGGTCAGCAGGCAAGGAAGGAAAAAAAACTTTTCAGGCCCCAAAAAGTTTTATTTTCTATCGCCAGAGGCCGGTCAGCAGGCAAGGAAGGAAAAAAAAACTTTTCAGGCCCCAAAAAGTTTTATTTTCTATCGCCAGAGGCCGGTCAGCAGGCAAGGAAGGAAAAAAAACTTTTCAGGCCCCAAAAAGTTTTATTTTCTATCGCCAGAGGCCGGTCAGCAGGCAAGGAAGGAAAAAAACTTTTCAGGCCCCAAAAAGTTTTATTTTCTATCGCCAGAGGCCGGTCAGCAGGCAAGGAAGGAAAAAACAACTTTTCAGGCCCCAAAAAGTTTTATTTTCTATCGCTAGAGGCCGGTCAGCAGGCAAGGAAGGAAAAAAAACTTTTCAGGCCCCAAAAAGTTTTATTTTCTATCGCCAGAGGCCGGTCAGCAGGCAAGGAAGGAAAAAAAACTTTTCAGGCCCCAAAAAGTTTTATTTTCTATCGCCAGAGGCCGGTCAGCAGGCAAGGAAGGAAAAAAACTTTTCAGGCCCCAAAAAGTTTTATTTTCTATCGCCAGAGGCCGGTCAGCAGGCAAGGAAGGAAAAACAACTTTTCAGGCCCCCAAAAAGTTTTATTTTCTATCGCCAGAGGCCAGTCAGCAGGCAAGGAAGGAAAAAAAACTTTTCAGTTTCTATCGCCAGAGGCCGGTCAGCAGGCAAGGAAGGAAAAAAAACTTTTCAGGCCCCAAAAAGTTTTATTTTCTATCGCCAGAGGCCGGTCAGCAGGCAAGGAAGGAAAAAAAACTTTTCAGGCCCCAAAAAGTTTTATTTTCTATCGCCAGAGGCCCGCTTCGTGGGTTGACGGCTGCAGAAGCAGTAGGATTCAGAGTTGCTCCAGAAGAGCATTGCATCTCTGCGATAATGTCAGAGATGTCACCACCCAAGCGCAAGAAGCGCAAAGACCGATCAGATTCAGATTTAAAAATCACTGCAAGAGACCGTGGATCGTGGAAAAAACTTTTCGGAAGCTGAAATGTTTTTTCCCTTGGGGTTGGACCCTGGAAAGAAGGCCCACAAGCTACTTTCTTCCTTCGAATTAACGAGGTAAAGCCTTAATTTGCACCTGCAAATTAACGAACGAGGACAGTAATCATGGGGAACAAATTAAGACACGAGGGAGACGAGGTAAGAATTAAAGTAATTTGGCCAGATATTATGCATGCATAGTGTTTTACACATCACATTTCACCAGGTATTTGTTGCTTCCGTCGCACCTTTTTCCAGGTTCCCACTACCATCAACGACGCCTGGCAGAGAAAGCCGCCGACTTGAAGTTGGAAGACGAAGGTGGATGGGGGGGTTCAACGCTTCAAGTCATGTTGATGATAGCTGATAGTTCTTGTTGATAGTTTTCATGATAGTCAACAACATTAATAACATCATCAACTATCAATAGTTCATCATTATGGTTAACTATCAACATGGGGTAATGATGGGTAATGATAGTTAATGATAGTGACAATTAATGATAGTTCATGTTGATAACTTATGATATATGTTAATGATATATGTACGTATATATATATATAGATATATATGGTGCTTTCCTATTGATGGGGAATCTCCAGTCGTCACCATGGTTGTTTCAATGCTAAGTCATGGTCGTTTCTGAGGTGGATGATTTGGGGGTACCCCCATGACTTAGGACACCTTCATATATTTCTGTTTATGCTGGGTTTGCATTTTTGTTAAAACGTGTGTCCTTTTTTAAAACCATAGTTTCTGGGGGATGGGCAATAGATAGAACGATGATAAGCATCAAACTTGGGAGTAGCATATAGGATTTCGACCATCTTGGTGACTGTACACCATACACAAGTCTAAAAAATAGATATGACTATAAACATTATAAACCATATCCACTTACGGTTGATCATTTGCTTGACCCACTGCAATTGATAGGAGTTTACATTGCCATTTGCATCCATTGGTCCAGTGTTCTCCCAGGTTCATGAGGAGGTTTTTTCGCGTCTTCAGACCGTGAAACGAAGAAGAATCTGACCAACAGGGGATCACCCAAAAGTTGGATCTTGCCATATCTTGCCCCAGGAAAAATCGAACAGAGATGCCTTCGAAAAACCAACTCTGTGGGCTGAACTGAACTCCAGGTGAACATACTGTCTTTGTGGCGAATCTGGACTGGTCCGTCGCTTGGCGTCCATGTGGGGCTAAGGGGGAGCACTGATGCAGAATAAATTTACACCAAGAACCAAATATGTTCATTGGGGGAATGATGATTTGTCTTATGTGATTGTGGATGATTGTGGTTTTTTCCATGGCTTACCCCCACATTTCAGGCACGAAAGCTGACAATTTAAGTCCCCTCCCTTTCTTGAAGGTGGATGAAGCCCAGCTCTATCGGGTCTTTCAAGAGGTGGAAGGATTAAAGGCTCGCGGCCGGATGATGGTAATCATCCTTTTTGTTGGGTGGATAAAAACGTACGGATTTCAAAGGTATCCGACCAGGTATCCTCTGGTAACATGTTATATAATAGGTATTGCTATGTATAGCTGGACTAGCTGGACAATCCCCCATTAGTTCGATGACCAGTTCGGGGATTTCCAGCTTACCAGAGGCAGATGGATCATGATTCGATGAGTTCAGAAGCTGTGACCGAACCCTGGAAATCATGGTTAGTAAGGGAAATGATCCCCTTTTATAGCCTTAATTCAGGTCAGTGAAATATTACAATTTACCCAGATATATATTATATATATAATATATTATATATATAATATATTATATATATAATATATTATATATAATATATAATTATATATGATCCAGTCCGCCGGCCACCTACCCTTTCATGGTATCCCCCCTCCATACATACAGACATACAGACATACATACATAAATCCCTACCTGCATGTATACATACCTTCGTACATACCCGCCTACCTACATAATTGCAAAGACACACATATATGCATACCTACCTACATACATTCCTACCTACATACATACCGTACCTGCCTACTTACATACATACATGCCTACATATAGACATACATACCCACCTACATCCATTCTTACCAACCTACCTACTTACATAACTACCTTCATACATACATGTATGTATGCATTCATACATACATATTATATATATATATACCGACCTAGATACATACCACCACAGGGGGGTGGGGGGGAAGGGGGGTTGCGGGGGCTGGGACACACACACACACATATATATATATATCTACATATGAAATTATATATATATGTAATTATTACAATATATTATTATTATTTTTTAAATATTATATTATATTATATATATTATATTATATTATATTATTATATTATATTATTTTATTATATTATATTTTATTATATTATATTATATATATTATATGACATTATATATTTTATATGACACTATATTATATTATGTTATATTATATTATATATTATATATTATATATTATATATTATGTATTATATATTATATATTATATATTTTACATTATATATTATATATTATATATATTATATTATATTACAATATAACATATTATATTATATTGTATTATATATTATATATTATATATTATATATTATATATTATATATTATATATTATATATTATATTATATATTATAAATTATATATTATATATTATATATTACATATTATATATATATTGATCGAGGATTTTGTAGAGTTCGTTAGACCAGGGTAAAACCACTGGGTTTGCGATCTCCCATTCTTGGACACGACAAGAAATCTTCCTGGGAACATCTTCAAGAGTGTTCGGCAGTTGCAGGGCAATTTTAAGGGTGGTCTTTCGCCTCTTGATTCGGTGATGCCCATTTCAACCACCTTCATTGAACTGATTCAAAACACATAAGACATATATATATATATAATTATATATATATATATACATTTCAACGAATTTCGGAAATGGTAAGCAACATTTACTATCTCCCATGATTTTCATGTTATTTGGTTATTTCAAATGGAAGTCTTCAGCATTTTTCGTCGTCGAGTTCCGAAGCTGCGCTGCAGAATCCCACAAAAATCATCAGGAGGTGCGCCTGGTGCGAGACTTCTTGAAGAGATTCTCGGTTCCGGTTCCGTCGACGGGTGGTGTTTCATGTGGCGTTTTTTTGAGTCATATCATGTCATATCATGGTCCAACCATTGGGGATAGCCCAAAGTGTTGCAATGTTTTGCCGGTTGGTGGTTTGGAACATTTTGATTATTTGTCCATTCAGTTGGGAATGTCATCATCCCAACTGACGAACTTATATTTTTCAGAGGGGTTCAAACCACCAACCAGTTAGAGTTTGTTGAGGGACATTGAAGTTTTTTGTTCATAGTTGGATGTGCATCCGTGGAAATCCGTGGAAATCGTGTAGAATCCATGAACCTAGCCCATATTTCATTCCATACAATCAAGTGGGATATCAAATATATATATATATATAAAACTGTTTTTTTGACCCATTTACTAAGTGGGATGCACCCCCAAGTAGTCCAAATTGGGGATACCCCAACATTGCAATGTTTGGAAACTGTTTTTTTTGTTACCCATTTTCAGAACAAAGCCATGGCATTGGTAGTATTTCATTCCGCAAATCTGAGGTTGAGTGCCCAAAAATAATGGCTTTCCCCTTGGAACACCGTTTCTCTTTGTGAATTCCCCATTTGTGTTTGTTGAAGGTCCGCCATCGGTGTTAAAGTTGGACTCCTCATATTGTTGGCTGGTTCGTTTGGTAAAATCTGACCTGTGTGGCTAAATTCAACATCAACAAAACATGTTGGTAGCACTGTTAAAATCCCAATTTGTCTCGTTCCACCATTCTTCTTCACCATTTTTTTTTCCAGAGGTTTTCCCATCATTTTTCCACCATTTTCCATTAAAAAAATCCATGTTTTTGTCCAGCCTAGGCTGGACCACGTTTTCCACCGAGGGTCCAAGGGTTACGCCTATGTGGACTTCGATTCCCCTGAACACGTCATGGAGGCGGTCGAGAAATTCTCGGGCGCCCTGGTGAAACCCCTCAGGGCCTTGTTGAGAAATGGGGAAATTCTCTGGAAGAAATGGAGGTTTACACTGGCAAAAACCCATGTTTTTTTACCGTGAAAATCTTAACCAATATGAAGAACAGGGAAAAACATGGAGTACTTATTGGATCTTATTGGCATATCTTCAGAACATTGGTTCTTCCAGACCCGATTCTGGGGTTTCCCATCGTTTGAAGGGGGTGAAGGTCAGTTGAAGGGTTTATGTGTTTTATTCCCTCGAGGAGGAATATGAATTCCCAAAACTATATATGTGTTTGTGGTGTATGGTAAGGAATTCAGATTGCTGGATACCACCTTTGTATACCTTTGTTAGTAATATGATTTTAGCATGTTCTACCGTATGGAAGCCGTATGATTCATGGAGAAACCTATGGGTTTCTTGCACATGTTCCGAACAAAATCTGGATGGATTGTACCCACCACACTAGATTTGGGGATTCAATGAGTGCAGTACATTTTCTGGCCAAAAAAAGTTGTCAACTTTTAGAAGGGTATCAAGAAACAAGCAAGGATTCTCCTGATCTTTGGACTTGCTTCCACACTTGGCCACAACAAGGCCATTTGATCAACAATCGCGCGATGACTCTTGTCGCCCCATGGGGATTCCCTGCCAGTTGGAATTTCACCAACAAACATCGGGATATATATATAATAATATATATATAATATAATATAATATATATATAATATAATATATATATAATAAAAATAATATATATATATATAATATATAATATTATATATATAATAATATATATATAATATAGTATATATAATATAATTTATATATAATATATATAATATATATAATATATATAATATATATAATATATATAATATATATAATATATATAATATATATAATATAATTAATATAATATATATAAAATATATAATATATAAATATATATAATATATAATATAATATATATATAGTATAGTATATATATAATATCAATATATATATATACATATACATATACAGTATATATTATGGGATAAACGGGATACCCCTACTGGTAAGGATTTTCCTTTTGATAGGGCGAAAACCAGCAACAATCTCTTATATATAGGCCCCCAAGGGCTGAACTTTTTCATCGCCATGGGACCGGGTTGACCGACCGGTCGGTCATGGGTAGCGGTCATGAGTTATTCCAGATGGTCAGGGCAATTCAATGGTTTACATCAATACCCAATATGTATATATATATACATATGTAAATACATATATATATATATACGAAATTATGGGTTTGTCTCAAGATAGATTTTGTCCTCAAGATAGGTTATGTACCCCAAAAATCATTGTGTAATCACAATTTTCGCCACTTACATGTGCCATTTGGCGGGTATACAGTATACACCATTTGTGGAAACGCCCATGTCAGAGATTAGAGAACAGAAATTGAAGAACTTCTGGACATTCCCAATAACTGATGGGCGGATGCTTAGTACAGTGCCTGAAGTTCCTGACTGATAATTATGGAGCACTGGATGGCAGAAAAAATATGATATACAATTGGTTTATGGGCTTCATTATATATAAATATATACATTATTCCCCTATGTGGGATGATGATCCCAATTCACAATATGTTAGGGGTTAGTTTCTAAAAGGATATACTTACAGGAACTCTTGCCTGGAGTCCATCAGGGGGATGCTGGTTTCTCGGTGCCAGATCTGAGCAGCTCAAAGCATTCGAGAATCTGCAGCTAGAGCTGACAGCTACGCAACTCAAACCTGACCTATATATACATACATACATACATACATACATACATACATACATACATACATACATACATACATACATACATACATACATACATACATACATACATACTACATGTATATATATATACATGACTATATTACATATATATATATATATATGTATTACATACATACATACATACATACATACATACATACATACATACATACATACATACATACATACATACATACATACATACATACATACATACATACATACATACATACATACATACATACATACATACATACATACATACAACATACATACATACATACATACATACATACATACATACATACATACATACATACATACATACATACATACATACATACATACATACATACATACATACATACATACATACATACATACATACACTACATACACTACATACACTACATACACTACATACACTACATACATACATACATACATACATACATACATACATACATACATACATACATACATACATACATACATACATACATACATACATACATACATACATACATACATACATACATACACACATACATATAATCTAATATATAATCTAAAATAATATATAGCATATACTATATAATATAACAAATAATATATAATATAATATATATTATATAATCTAATATATATTCTAAACTATTATATAATATATAATATATAATTACATATATTATATAACATATATAAATTATATCTAATATATATAATATAAATGTAATATATATAAAATAAATGTAATATATATGATACATACAATATATATATATAATATAATATATATATAGTATATATATATAAGAGATATAATATATTTATATATAATATAATATATAATATTATATATAATATACAATATATAATATTTAATATATACATAATATATAATATTTAATATATAATATATAATATTTAATTTATAATGATATATATAAATATGTAATACATATAATATATAAAATACATATGATAATATATATATATAATATAATATATGTAATATAATATATAATATATAATATATTATATATAATATATTATATATAATTTAGACTATATAATATATAATGTATAATATATAATATTATAATATATATAACATATAATATATAATATATATATATAATATATATATAATATAAAATATATAATATATAATATAATACAATATAATAATATATATATATATATATCTTTATATTCATTGATCTCCGTTATCGCATGGATGAAATGTCAATCATGAGTAAGATTATGTTCCCATGGCGGGCCTTGGCCTGCAAGCAGACCCAGTTTTGCCACCAAAAGCCTGCACGCCCCAAGTAGGTGAGATTTCCATAGATTTCCCAGTCCCATTGTGTCCCATGATATAAATCGCATGATGTCGAAAGGAATTTCCGTTAAATTTCCATTAATTCTCCATGAAAATTCCCCATGAGATCGTAAAGAAATCCCCATGACATCACCTTAAACTCACCCAAGAAATTGCCACAGCCGAAAAGGAAGGTGGCAAAGTCGCTCCCCACCAAGCAGCTCTACCAGGCAGATTCACCATGGACCGTTCCGCTGAGCTATGGTGAATCTCCGGGGATAATGGGATATGATGGTTCATTGTCAAATGGTGAATCATTGTTAAATGGTTGATAAAAATATTGGTGAACAATGGTTCATGTTGGTGAATAATGGTTAATGTTGGTGAATCCTTGTTAAATCTGGATATTGTAATGGAAAATCATGGGGACACAACCAATAATATATGAATCATGGATGGGTAGATACTCAAACTGTTACTTGACAGTTTGCGAACTGGAACATGGCCCATTTATGGATGATTTGTGATGATTTACGGTCATTTATGATGATTTATGATATTTTATGCCGATTCATGATCATTTAGCCATTTAGCCATTGAAAATGATGGTTATCCAGAACTATCCTAAATAACCAGAGGATAACAGGAAATACAAAAATTATGGATGCTACACAGATCATGATAACAGAATAATGGATGATAGGAATAGTGTCTTGGATATCACACTTAAATCTTTCGGAAAGGCTCCACAAAATAATTGCTACATTTCATTTATCAGCTGATAAGGGAAGATTCAGATGTGAATGGAAGGCATATAGATGCATATAGTATCCAGACATAAATGGCGGTTTGAGTGGGAAATATCATCGAAGCACCTGGAATATCCTGGAATAAATGGGTTGTTTTCCTCTTCCTGACCCGTTTGTTTGGGATCTGGGAAATCTTTGGCAAATCCCATGGCACTTTTCATAGAAACGACAGATTTAAATCTCAGGAATGGTTTGGGAAGTCTCCGGTAGATCAAAAGAAGACCAGACGGTACGGTACATATAACATGTAATGATATGTAATCATGGGCATACAATATAACTTGATAATATAGATCTGTATTTAATTATATATATATACAGGTACCTACCTAATCATTGGATTCAACAACAAGCATTTTCAGAATGGGATTTCTGGAGATCAGAACTGAGACGAGACCTCTATATACACAGGTCCCCGAACATCACCTGTTTGTGGTTAAATGTCCCCCAAAAAAGGTGATGTTCGCAGAGGTACCCTCTGGTAATTTAACGTAGCTATTGAAAATGGCCATTAATAGTGGATTGTCCCATTAAAAATGGTGATTTTCAATAGCTATGTTAAATTACCAGAGGATAAATATACAGTAGTGGGAAACTATGGGTTTTCCATATCTTTGTTACCTTACTCTTCATAGAGGAAGATGAGGAAACATACCATACCACATCCCACCATAAATTTTCAAAACAATAACACAGATTATGACAATTCATTATGATATTCCTCCGCCAACTTAACATAGACCCTCCCAAAAAAATTAGGGTTTGGAAGATTAGTTTCCACCAAACCATGGCTCTTTTTTGTGAGGGTCTATGTTTTGGAGGAGGGTACAGTAATCCCCTTAAAAAAGTGATGTTCACAGAGGATATATCAGAAACACAACGACTTCCCGGCAGGAAAAGGTCCTCTTCGTGCGGAACATTGGTGACACCGCGGTGGAGGACATCCGTCATGCAAACCTACGGAGTTTGGGGTACACTATTTTCAGACAAAGCCGCATGATGCCATATGATTTGGCATCGCGACTTGTAATATCTTGTAATTAAATACGGGTAAACAGGTCAACACACCAAACTGGGGTAATCCAGTATAATTATGAATTGTAATCCATATATCCAACGCAATATTTATTTGATTCACTGGCTTTCCCAAATGAAACCAAAAGCGAAGCTTAAACATCGCTGGCATCCCAAAACGACCCAGATATGTGGATGAAAGCAATGAACACAAGAGAATTTGGGCATGTATTAGCAAATTTTGATCCCCGAATAGCCATGAATTTCCATTCTCTATGAATTTGAAGAAAATGCTGGCATTTTCTAGAGAGAGGTCCGTTTTCATCGCTTTGGGCTCCGAAATCTGGGACATGTTCTAGAACGGTGTTCTTCGAGCACATGTTTGAAAATATGCAATTTTATAGAGAATACATAGATAATTATATTATATGATCCCGTCTTCCGCCCGCGAGGTCCCCCCCCCTCCCCCCCCGAATGGGATGGGTCCCCAGGTAGCACCCCCACTTCCCTTCTATTTGCAAGCTATTGGCAGCATTTCTGAGGTCCAGCCTCGTATTTGCTAGGTTTTTGCAGCGATTCTGACTACAAGCCTCCCATTTACTAGGTACATGCTACCCTTTAGACGAGCTGCGTAGCACACATACTCCCTCAAAGTACCTACGTGCTATCTATAGTTACAGTTATATGTACATGTGCTATGTATCTACTTCGTATATATATATATATATACATATACATATATATATATATATATTTACATGTTATAGATACATACATATGTATATTCATATTCATATTCGTATTTAAATAATTCAATATATATATATATATATACGTGTCAATATATATATATATACACATACATACATTCACACACACATATATATATATATATACACCAGTGTATATATGAATACATATAAGCATATATATAATTATATATATATACGCAGTACCACACCCCCACCACACCACAGGGGGGCGGGGAACATAGCTCCTGTATATCCATACCCATCCCTACTACTAACTACTACTAACTACTACTAACTACTACTAACCCCCCCCACCCCCCTACCCACCCACAGGGGGGGCGGGGAACATAGCTCCTGTATATCCATACCCATTCCTACTAGTAACTGCTACTCACTACTACTAACTACTACTAACTACTACTAACTACTACTAACTACTACTAACTACTACTAACCCCCCCACCCCCTACCCACCCACAGCGGGGGAGCGAGGAACATAGCTCCTGTATACCCATACCCATTGGGGGGGGAGGGGGGGGACCTGGGAGGCTGCATCATATATATATATATATATATAAATAATTATATAATTATATATATATATACATATATATATATATGTATTGTATATATATATATATATACCATGGGTGTACTATTCTTTGGGATACAACATGATTGCAAAGCGCTGCATTTTCTAGAAGGAGGTGATGACAGACAACGATCCATTTTGTGCAATTCTACTGCCGAAAAAAAACGAGAACTTTACTGGGTGGAGCCATTTTGTAAGCATAACATCTATGTTTGAAGGAAGCTTAGAAGTCAAACTTCCGACAATATGGACAGATGAAAAGCAAGGATGGGAAGAGTCAGAGAAGAGAAGAGAAGAAGAAAGAAGATCAAAAAAGAGAAAGTCTCAGAAGAAAGAAGATCCAGGTGCGCGAAAAGGTAGGAAAGTCGCGAAACACTGTGTTTCTCCAATGATTTGTGGCTCCGGAGGTCGAAAAGTAGGCTCGCTAAAGCGGCGGGTGCGGAGCCCGCTGGGCAGATGAGAGATGAAAAATTGCACGCCGTTGTGGCGCGAAGCACATTTCAAAGGCAAAATGTACAAAACACACCAGGTCCGGACCACTTTTGGAAGTTGAGATGTCGAAAAAGTGGATGCCGTTGTGGCACGAAGCACATTTCGAAGTCAAAAGTGTAAAAAACTGACGGGTTCAGAGCACTTTTGGACATTGAGATGTCCAAAAAGTGCACGCCGTTGTGGCGCGAAGCATTTTTGAAGTCAAAAGTGTAAAAAAAATGACGGGTTCAGAGCACTTCTGGAAGTTGAGATGTCGAAAAAGTGCACGCCGTTGTGGCGCGAAGCACATTTCGAAGTCAAAATGTTAAAAGCACCGCGTGTTGGGATCACTTTTGGAGGTTCAGATGTCGTTTCGCATGGCAGGCGCAAGGGATTGTGCACCTTGTCAAGAGTGAGCAAAACGTGAGGGTTTTGTAGAATTTCCAAAAACGATGGCAGGCGTGGGACATTTGAAGAGGATCTGCCAAGATGAATTTTCCGTGGCAGGCGCAGTACAAGAGACATGTTTATCAGAGATGCTAGAAGGTCCGGGCGCTGATTTCCTGAGAGGGGTTGCATTTTGGAGCATCAGATCTTCAGTTTTGGGAAGATGATTTTGCGTGACAGGTGCAGCACTTCGTATGACCTGGCCTCACTTTTTCGTGCCAGGTGCAATACTTTAGACAAGTGGAGTGGAAAAATCGCAAAACGCATTGGTACGAGGCTGTCAGCTCTGTACAGTACTCAACTTTCCATTTTAGAAGGAAGTCAATTTGGAAAAATGAGGAAGTCTCGCAGACTTGTTTCGTTTTTGATGTTGTCAAATTCAAAAATTGAGGAAGTCTCGCAGAATTGCTGCGTTTTGAAGCTTACAGTTAGACAGACAGACAGACAGACAGACAGGCAGACAAACAAATAGATAGATGGATAAATAGATGGATAGATAGACAGATAGATAGATAGATACATAGATACATAGATAGGTGGTTAGGTAGGTAGGTAGGTAGATAGATAGACAGATAGATAGATAGATAGATAGATACATAGATAGGTGGTTAGGTAGGTAGGTAGGTAGGTAGGTAGGTAGGTAGGTAGGTAGGTAGGTAGGTAGGTAGGTAGGTAGGTAGGTAGGTAGGTAGGTAGGTAGGTAGGGAGGTAGGTAGGTAGGTAGGTAGGTAGGTAGGTAGGTAGGTAGGTAGGTAGGTAGGTAGGTAGGTAGGTAGGTAGGTAGGTAGGTAGGTAGGTAGGTAGTCAGAGAAACAGAGAGAAAGAGAGAGAAAGAGAGGAGACCTCAGCCACGTTTCGGTCCATCAGTGGCTTCGCTCTGCCATCCGTGATTCACAGCAACCAAACTCTCCTATAGGTTTCCTATTTTTGAAACTTCCGCCAGCGCCTAGTGCGGTATTACTGGTAATTCAAATGACCCATTTTGATCATTTTGTAGAGGGCTGCCAGGTTTCAGTGATTTTCTTGCATGAAACCGAAGATGACAACGATGAAATCTAAGTCGCCAGCGTCTCCAGGAGGACGTCAGAGAAGCCTTCAAGGGGCACCAGGTGGTGAGTGTGCGCATGCCTCGACAAGATGATCACCACAAAGGCACCGGCGCAGCGGTCGGTGATTTTTGGCTCATGGAATCCCATGGACAAAGTCCATGGATAAACCCACTAGGTGGGGAATCGATACCTAGATTTTTGGACATCTAAAGCAATCAGTAGTACTGTATCAGATTTTTTGAGTGGTTGGAAGGGGGAAAACGAATTCTTGGACTTATTATTGTTGCTTGGATTTGGTTTGGATGGCCGATTATTGCACAAAATATCACAAAATTTTGATTCTCAATATGTGAATATTTTTTGTGGGAGGTCGACTTGGAGGTGATGAAAAACACAGGTGGGTTTGTCAGCCCATCCTGCACTAAGAACAAGACGCATGTGAGGCCAATAGGAACAGTTTCACCTTCAAAGCAGATCAACTTGTGTACCGAATCCATGTTTGGGACGAAACTCACGGTTTCATCCTTCACCGGTCGCCTGAGGATACGCTTATGTGGAGTTCACGTCTGACGATGCCGTGAAGGTGACTGACCAATGAACATGGACGACATGAGTGTGTCTGAAAATGGGCATCTACAGCAATTTTATGGCCGTTTTAAAGGGGGACATGATGATCAAGCATCAAAATTGGGGATTTTGATGGATTTTGGGCATCTTGGCTTTGAAACGGGCATGGGCACCCCCAATTCTATCTATTTCGAATAGGTAAAATCATTATCAACTATGGGATTTGTTGTTTTCCTCAAATGTTCAGATACATTTGATGTTCAGTCTGGCACAACAAAATCATTTTTCTCCGACTCAAGGGGAGATGGTTGGTGTCTCCAGTTAGATCACGAAACCAGGCCTGCTTGAGCCTCGACGCGCCCAAGATCGGTGGACAGCAAGTGAGCCTTTCAAGGTGCCTAAAAACATGTCCATGACGTGGCTATGAAAAGTGGCATTAAAAGTTGAGATATGTACAAATAAAATTAACACATCAAATAAACACTATACATATATATATATATATATATATGTGTGGCTTCGCGGGTAGAAGTCCACAAAGGTAGGGAATCCAGCAACTCTTTTGGGGGTTTTCAGGGATCCCCCAAACCACAACCAGTCCCCCTTAAAAAGGACCCGACAGACCCCCTGGGCCTTTGTTACACTTCTCGATTTGTGGGGCTGACCACAGCGAGTGTCCGCACTCAGTCTTTTCGCACCTCGCGGCCTTGAGCCATGTCAAGCGGATCCATGCAACGGTGAAGGCTGGAATGCCTTTGGCAAGCGGAAGTGATCATCCAAGGGTGGTCAACTCAAGTGGAAAAAATTCACACTGGTATCTTTTTCTTTTGGATGAGCACCCCCGAAAAACTTTCCTTCATCAAGTGCTGCTTCTGGCAAAGAAACCCACTTAGCCGCGATCTTGCGGTGTGAGTTATTTTGTAACGTCTGTTGTTCATCAAAAATTCTAAATTTTCCCAGGCGAAGCACTGTCCGAAGAAAGGACGATTCCATCGGCTTTGTCAAGCAATCGGCTAGCATGATTGCTGTCGATATCCAGCGGCACTGCGAATGACCCTCAGCTTGTTGTTTGATCAACATTACTTCAACAGTGGTTCTCCATTCTTCACAGTTGGGGACCGCTAGTTTATTGACAAGGTCATATAAACTTTTACAGTCAGTGATCAAGAGAGCTTTAAGGGAAGATTGCAATGACTTTTCGGGATATTGCCATTTGAACGTTGGGCTAAGGATATATTCCCACATGCACCTCAGCCATGTCAACTTGTCTAAGGAAGAGCTCATCGCATAAGCCTCTGCACTTAGAGTTGATCTTACTACCCTCCCTATTTGTTTTGAATTCCAAGACATTGGACTGATTTCCGATGTCCGGTTTGCGGCCAATTCTGGAGTGCAGGCAACGATAAACAGCCCTTGTTGGGCTTTCAGCTGAGATGACGAGGCAAAACTGGCATCACCGAAGCTAGCGAATGTGACACTTTTAATGGGGAGTGGCCTCACCATGATGCATGTGTCAGCCGTTTGTTTCGCTTCGATGAGAACCTTGTTGGCATCTAACAGCATCGAAATCGTGGCTTTGCACACATTCTTCTGGATAAATGCTACCTTGGCTGCAATGTCCGGACGACTGTGGACAGCTGCGTACTGAAGACTACCGCATAGTCCTCGCAAGTCATGGACCTCTGATGGACTTGCAATGGCATCTTTGTTGGTTCTTCTGTTCTTGGGAATCTCAATAGGCTCGATCTTATGTACATATGTTTCCTGACTAATCCTAATTGAGTTATCTGGCAGCTGTTCTATGTCAAGTCCTGTGAATCGGAATTTTCGGTATTCCCTTTGGCCAAAGGGAAGCACTTTTTGGAGCTCTTGGAGGGCTCGTTCATAGTTCTGGTTACCACCCCCTATCCCATCATCTACATGAGTGCCCAAAATGCCATCAAGAACTTCAGGGTTAGTCTTGTTCCTAAGAAGAAAAAGGCAATTGTCCAAGGGGTGTGTTTCGAATCCAACTTTTTCGAGTTGACGGCGGAATTCCTTGTAAAAAAGGAGTGGAGCGTCTACGCGTCCGTATGCATTCCCATCCAACCTCAAAACTTCCTGTTCATTCATTTGAAGGAGCTCTTTCAATTCTGGTACAGGTTCCATGGCTAATTGACGACCATCAGATTTCCCCCTGAGGAATGCAGTGGTGATGTCAAAATTTTGTACAACCCAACCAGAAGAGGATACTACCTGAAGCAATAACATTCGAGCATCTCTAGAAAGTGTTGGTGATTCGGTATTGACTTGATCCAATTCCGGGTCCTGATATCCTCTGACCACAAGTCTGGCCTTGGCTTTTCTGCCCTGTGGCAGGGTTGAATCAGGTTTCCAAGTGAGAATCCATCTACTGGTCATGATTCTATTGGGAGGAATTTTGGATCGCAACATCTTTTTGACAGAACTTGTTTCCAACCAACAGTTCAACTCTTTGTTCTTGGCTTGTTTGAAAAGTTCTTTCTCAGTGGCGTTCAAGCTGGAATATCTCACTTCGGATTTGGCCCGACGGGCTGCGGTGGCTAAAAACGAGGTGTGCATTTTGGGGTTCGCTAGGAACCTTTGGACCTGCTGCTGGGGAACCTCAAATTCATACTCACAGTATGGGCGCGGGTCCTCTTCAGCTTCGTCCCAGAACGTGTCTTCGTCGCCCAGGGCGGCTGGTCCAGGAACATTTGACTCCACGAAGAGGGCATTATACACAACATTTGTTGGTTCAGCAACTGCTTCATTGGATTCCCCTGGGTCATTATTTCCCTCTGAATTATCCCCGTTAACACTCATGTTATCCCCATTAGGCGTTTCGGGTGGAAGACTACTTGGTGACGGAACACTGTCATGGTCCCAGGCTCCTTCGGGTATGTCAGGGATGGCAATCTCTTCGGGGTTCATTGCAGGTGCAAGTGCATTTGACATTCTCCTAGAGGGTTCTTCTTCTGGCTGCTCACCCATGGTTTCGGGCAAAACATTTGGAGCTTCAGGTTGAACATCGCTGATGTCGGAAAACTGAAACATGCCACTTCGTTCATGAAGTCTTCGCTGAAGCTGCTGTGCAAGTTTCTGGGCTTGCTGGGCATCGATGTGCTGGCTGAATGACGAATGTCTTTCAAACTCTCTGAGGCTGACAGGTCTAAGGTTATCCCTTGCGCATCTTAGGAGCCTATTTAAGTGAGTTATCCAAACAATTGTCTTGGATTCAACCATGACGACTTGTGCGGGTCCACACCATTTACCCTTTTCCAACATATTTGCTGATTTCCTCTTATCCCAAAACATGCATGGTTGACCGCATTGCCATTCCGTTATTTCCCCTCTGGATTTGCGAAGCACTGCTCTGCGTATGGCCTGGCTGTTGTCGCTATCTACAAAAGCCTTTCGTGCCAACACTCGGAGTTCCAGGGCAGCCCTGAATTTGTCAGCGGCAGGGCCTTCATTGGCTATGGCATGCAAGTGTGCAGGAGTGGATTCATCTCCGATTATGGACGCTGGGAGTTTGGTTGCCTTTCCCAGCACAGCTTGCTCGGGACTGTATCCGCAAATGGATGCCATGCTATTCTTTGCTCTGAAAACTTGAAACAATGCCCGTTCGAACTCAACTTCATTGTGAATTGGTTGGGAATTGTCAATCCGGTGAAGCATTTCTTTGACGGTTCCACCATGCCTTTCTATTCTTCCCCTCTGCCAAGGTGCTGCAGTTAGGACAGGTTTGATGTTTTCCTGTTGAAGAAATTCTTTCCAGGGTTCCGCAACAAACTCTCCTCCGCAGTCCATGACCATTTCAGTAGGCGTGCCCGCCCAACTGCTCCAGCATTCTTCAAAGACTCTCCTCGCTTGGATTCCATCCCTTACGGTTCTGCGGCCAAGATGAAACTGAGTTGCTTCATCGATGACATGGACAACGTAACCTTGATACCCAGTAGAACCCTTCCAATCAAAACCATCGATGTAAATCCTGTGGTTGAAATCTTGGGCTTCTTTCAACGAACCGGGTGGATTCAGGTTTGGAGGACGTCTTTCGGCACACGACGAACACAGGAAATCCAAGGCGCCTTGAACTAGGGTCTCTTCGGCTCCCATTCCATCAAGGTGTCGAGACAGCTTTTCAGCGGTAGGATGTCCAAGGTTATTGTGAAGCTTACGAATAAAGGCTTTACGTGATTCGGACAACTTTAGAAACCTGGGACCCGAAATTGACACGGCGGCTGACGTCCATGAATTTGCTGGCAACGTCTGGTCAGCATCGGATTCGGCTGGCCTTACATTTTGGACATCCAACTGGGCTTCGCCATCTGGATGCGAGGTTTCTCCCTCGGTGGGAGGGCATGCATTTTCCACTGCATCAGGGAAAGGTGGTTCTGCTGGCATCAGCTCAACACTTCCGACAGGTCTACCAAAGATGCAAAGCATGATGTGTGATGGATGGGCTTTTCTGGCTTGCTGATTTCTTGACAAACCACGGATTTCCTCGGTTCCCAGGTCATGGATGTCATAGGTCAATCGACACAAAATCACCGTTCTCCTAAAAGGTAAGGCATCTGGGTGGATCATGAACTTTTCTCGACCTTTGCATGCCATGACGGACTGGACATTCATTTCAGGGCATAGTTGTTGGACTGCTTTTACTTCATCATTATTGGGACCATTCCATTGTACTATACCTGATTTGGGTAGTTCTTTACGATATCTATCCATGAGTTCTTTCCATTTAGGATCTTCCAGTTTGTGGGGGGCGATTTCTTCGGCAGTTCGTTTCTTCCCCTTTGGTGGATTGGCCGATGGCTCCTCATGCTTGGCACGCTTTGGACGGCTGCTATCAGGAAGATCTGTCTCTTCCAAGGCTCGGACTGGAAAACAATCCTGCGGATTTAGGACAGCTGGAACGCTTACGTGCTCATGCTCTGGTCGCATGATGATCTCGGCAAGTTTCTTTGCAAGAACCCGAGGGTAGAAGGCTGCAAAGCTGGAAACACGGATGCTTTCCCCATTAACATGGCAACTCCCGGCTATGTGGACATGTTCATGTTCATGCTTGCAAAACCGTTGATCCATACTGCGAAACATTTCTTCGGAAGAGGTCTGTATCCTAGTTCTCTTCTTCATGGGTTCATGCAACGTCGGATGCTTGAGGCCAAACTGACATTGGTCGAAGAATGCCGGCTTTGTGCGGCGACATGTTTCGTCCAATTCAACCTGCTGCCACATTCCTGATGGTGCTGGATTTTCCAAGTGAAAATGGTCTCCTCGATCAAGTTGAACACGACACAGCAGTGAACAAAAATTTAACTGTTCCTTGGAAATTTCTTGATCATGTTGAATGCGGCAAAAGGATGTCAGCCCTCGCATTTGATTGAACCTGTTCCATGGTGACCATGGCGCGCATTCCGGGGCCATCCAGATATGTCGAGGTCTCCAGAGAAAAACTTTCCTCAATAGTTGAACTTGTCCTTGAAACGTACTGAGATCTCCATCTTCCAGAGTAAAACGCTTGGCAGTACCCCCCTTCTTGATGACTTCCTCTGTAAGTTTACTTTGTGTGCTGGCATAAACTTCTAGGAGGTCAATTCCAGGGCTGGTTTTACTAGGTATGTGGTGGCGGCAACTTTGAAGAAGTTTCATCTCATATGCTGACTCGACAAACATCCTAGGCATCTCGGGCTTAAATTTCATCGGCGGCCCGTCAGTGCTTGGTGCTCCATGTCGTTTCGAGCCTGGGCATAGGTGATGAAATCTTGCATGGCGGCGTTCGCCGTGCTTGCCCGAGCAGTGATCCAATCCACGTACTGCGGGAACTCCTCGTATACCGTCATGAAGCGCTTGCCATTGTGAGTCTTTCCCCAAGACACCCGTTTGCTCCCCCAGCTCTCGATGGCCTGTGCAGTCAAGGCCAGTTGGTTTTCCGACTGGTTCTCTGGGGTCAGGCGAATCGGCTTTGTTGATGCCGTTGCTGTCACCGGAATTCTTGTTGAGGTCCTCGTCGGCGGTGAAGCTGGCAAGGCATTGGTATTGGTCAACATCATCTCTTCCTCCTCCAGTTCCCAGGAGTGATCCGATAGGTCTCCACGACTTGGCGGTTTTGTTCCAGGCGAGACTCTGGTCTTTCGGGGTGAACGGTTGTCCTGAAGAATCTTTGACAATTCTTCGATCCGATCTTTCTGAACGTTCACCTGCTCCAGGAGGTTCTGCAACGAACTGGCATGATGCTCGGAAATCACTTGGTCTGGGGCCTTGATCTCGATCTGGTTGAAAAGGATGATCAGGAGCATCCGGAGAGACTCCATCACCGCCTCTGCCGTCGATTTGATCAGCTTCATCGCATCTCGTTGCGTCAGCATGGTCGGCACTGTCACCGATGAGCAAACCCGGTGGTGGGGAGATCGCGCTTGTCACTGGAACGGCTGTACAATTTTCTGCACTCAAGGCAACTTCTTTGGAATCAATGCAAAGCTCTGCCATTCTGATCACATACAAACCGTTTTCACTTTCTTTCAGACTGAGTTCACGATTGATCTTTGTGAGAAAACATCGGTTGGTGGACAAATCAATCATGGCTCCTAGGGCTTTCAAAGCTTGTATGGAAATCAAAAATGGAGTGGCTCTCGGAACTACCTCAATGACAATCCAAATTCTTCGTTTTCCTGACAAAATTGGTATTCTGACCTGTTTGAAACTGTAGGTAATTTGATTGTTGCCAAATCTAAATCCTACCTTGCTTGGAACTTCCTGGACCTGTGCTTGAATCTCGGCTGGCAAACTTTTCCACACCCCAGGCCACAAGTCGGCACCGATCACGCTTCGGCTGGCACCTGTGTCTAAGATGGCAAGCCCTTCATCGGCTATGGCACCCAAATTGGGTCGGTTATGGAAGCAGCTAGACTCCGCTGTCGCATTCATCCTGGGTTTCAAACGACTTCGAAACAAACCTTGGACCTGTGGAATCAGGTGTTGCAAACTGAATGCTTCGGCAACAGGAGGGACATGACAGGACACATCAACGGGGACTCGGATGCATGGACTTGACATGGTTCGACCGACGGTAGCAATTAGGCTTATTACCCCAGTTACTGCCCCACTTATCAGCCTATACACCCCATTAAATCCCCATTTATCCTGTACCCCAGGTTGTTTGGCTTCTCGGTCCTCGGCTTCATCTTCGAAAATCACCTGGGCTTGCTCTGGACTGGAGTCGATGACATGGAAGGTCTGGTGGGACACGAAATTGGCCGTGTCTGTAGTCTGATTGCCCTTGTTCGGGCACTCTGCTTTCCAGTGCCCTTTTTCTCCGCAAGCTTTACAGTGAGTTCGAGAGATCCTCCAGAGGAGGTTGCCCTTTCCATTGCCTTTGCGGTTCATGTTGTACTTGCCATAGCCCTTTGATTTCCCTTTTCCCGAAGCAGGCCAAAACCCTCTGGACTTTTTGCGGTCCAAGATCTTGGCCCGGGCCTCTTGGTAACTCACCAGCGCGTTGTGGAGGTCAGGCACATTCTGGAAGATTTCTTCCAAGTCTTGTTCGAATCCAACCACGTTCAAGGCGTCTGCATCGCCCTGAGTTGCCAGCAACTCAACGTACTCTTGGTCGACTTCTTCATCTTCTGCATAGTAGGCTGGACTCATCCATCCAGCATTGGACTCGTTTTCCATAGCCACAAAGCTTGGCTCCGGCTCCACATAGTTGGTCGGGTAGACCTTTTTCTTCACGTCCCCTGACGCCAAAATGGACGTTGCCAGGGTCCTCATTGACTTTTCAATCTTCTTTGTGTCGATGTCGCCATTGGTCATTGTCAAAACTCGTTTCTTGTCCTCAGGGCTAAGGGCACTCTGTCTCAAAAGCAGAAATGCATGGAACTCTTTCAAGCTCTTTGCACCCAACTCATCCATCGCGACCTGGAGCCTGTTCACGTAGCTCATGCTGGATTCATCGGTTTTCTGAACAGTTTTGTAGATTGCTCGTTCAAACTGCTCATAGGTCTTCATCTCCGTGGACTCCTCCCACGTTGACAACGCCGCTAGAAGGTTCTTCACACCGTCTACTGGGTCGGTAAGCTCATCTGACTGCAAATTTTTGACCTGTCCCCAGGCTGTACCTCTGCAGAGCATTGCTAACCGTGGTGCTAACATCGGTCGATCCTTCTTTGGGCATATGTTGTCAATGAACTTGACCTTCTCTATGTACTCTTTCACATTGTCAGTTGCAGGATCGAAGGTGGGTAACAAGGTCCATATATGGCTGCCCTTGTCTTCTGACACCTCTGCAGTTGACATGGCGGCGAAACCAGGCTTTCCACGAAATCTGTGGGCCTTCCGGGCTCCGCTACCAATGTGGCTTCGCGGGTAGAAGTCCACAAAGGTAGGGAATCCAGCAACTCTTTTGGGGGTTTTCAGGGATCCCCCAAACCACAACCAGTCCCCCTTAAAAAGGACCCGACAGACCCCCTGGGCCTTTGTTACACTTCTCGATTTGTGGGGCTGACCACAGCGAGTGTCCGCACTCAGTCTTTTCGCACCTCGCGGCCTTGAGCCATGTCAAGCGGATCCATGCAACGTTGAAGGCTGGAATGCCTTGGCAAGCGGAAGTGATCATCCAAGGGTGGTCAACTCAAGTGGAAAAAATTCACATATATGTATATATATATATAGGCTTGTCCCACCTCTTGGAACTACATACCATGGGGGGGGATGGGGTGGGATGTTAACGTTCGTGTGAACTTGGGGGGGGGATGGGTGGGATGTTAACGTTTCATGTAACTTGCAGAACAGTTGATGCTACGCACACGCGGGGTGGGGTGGGGGGGGGATGGGGTGGGATGTTAACGTTCATGTAAACTTCAGAAGCAGTTGATTGGGAGAGGTCCTCAAAGCTGTGCGAGACTTGCAGCTCCCGTGACGAGACAAAAACCAGAACTGGTCTCACATGTTTCTGGGAGAGGTCTTCAAACACCGTGTTCATGTTCATACTAATGCTGATGATGATGATGATGTCATGATGATGATGATGATGATGATGATGACCCTAATGAAACTTGTCAATTCCGGGACAAAATTTCGTCCCGGAATTGACAAGTTTTACCAACCTAATTCGGGTTGTGCGCAGTTCCAAGAGGTGGGACGAGGCTATATATACATATACATATACATATACATATACACATACACATACATACATACACATATACATATAATATACATATACATATATATATATATGTATATATACATATATATATACACATACACATACATATATATAGATAGATAGATAGATAGATAGATAGATAGATTGATAGATAGATAGATGGATAGATAGATGGATGGACATATTTTACACGGAATACATAAATCGTGCTGCATGGGTATTGCACACTGGTTTCTTTCAGCATTGAGGTCCATTCCCATGAAAGATCATCGCCACACCACAGCGGCAACGCGCAAAGATTTGCCTCAACGAGTGACTTGCCACGGGCCAAGGGGACCAGAATGCCTTGGAATTGGCCTTGGAATTGGCAGAATGCTGTGACTTTTGGAGTTCAGCTGTACTTAAAATGGGGTGGTCTGAGGGCGCGTGCTCATGCATTTGTTGTGCGGAAGCGGAAATGAAACGTGTTGCTGACATCGGAGTTTTTTTGCACCAGCGAAGATTTGACTCTCAAAAGAACGAGGCGGGCATCAATGAACTCGTAAGAATTTCTGAATGATGTGGTAAACCCAATGCCGCCATCCCATTCACTGACCGAGGATCATTTTACATCATTAATAGGGGATACACAATAATAAACCTTACTGGGGATGGTTTATGTTATTGGGTTTACCCACATTAGAGAAAAGTAGATAGGTACACGCACAGTGAAAGGCCAAGAAGTGCATTTTTTCCCATGGCCAGTGTTTAAAAAGTGGCTTAGCCTCCTGGTAATTCAACATCGCGGTAGAACAATACGCATTTATAAATTTTATAGATTTTATAGATTTATCCTATAAGATCTTGTCTTCCATAGCAAAGTGTTCAATAATCAGAGGGTTATACCTTGGTTTTTATAGCCGTGATTTAACATGTTCGCCAATCCGCCAATCCCTCGAGGTGAACCAGCGCGTGATCGTGGAAGGGAAACTGGATCGCGAAGACCCAGTCACTTGGGCTGGCGGGAACATCCCCGATCAAAATGGAGGTTGAAATGGGAAGATTTTTTTTTGAAACGGTGGATTTTACCACGTTGAATTACCGGTAGGTTGCTGGTGTCCTATTTGTGTCTATCTGCGTATTTGTGTTTGTTTGTCAATTTGTGTCTGTTTGTCTATCTGTGTCTGTCTGTCTACCTAGCCGTCTTCCATATCTTATCCTGTCCTATCCTAATCCCTATCCCTATCCTAATCTTAAACTTAATCCAATGCCTAATCCTATCCTATTCTATCTAATTTATCTAATCTATCTGAATCTAATCGATAATCTATGTAATCTATGTAATCTATCTACTCTATCTAGTATATCTACTCCAATCTATCTATATAATCTTGTCAATTCTCATCAAATCATGTCAAATCTTGTTGATTCTTACCTTATCTATCCAGATGTCATTTTATCAATGTGTCATTCATATCTCTCGGTGCCATCCCCAAACTTTCTTGGTCTCCATAATCATTGAGACCGATGCACGGTTTATAAAACCATTGGTAAGGGTTTAAATCCCCAATTCTGAGTTTCTTTTTGAACTCAACAAATGGATGGGTGTTTTTTTTTCATTTTTTTTCTACGATCAGCTTTTTCTGGGTCCGGTTACCTAGTGCCTAAAAGTGACGATACGACACGAGGTGAGACAATCAGCCAAGTGCCCCACGACGGTCTACGTTAAGAATTTGGCCTTCAATGTGGATGACGAATCGCTGACCAAACATTTCGAGCTCCGCGGCGGGAAAAAAAATGCCCACAAAATCAAAAATGGACTCAAATATGGGAGAGCAATCCAATACTAGACTCGATTTCGTTCGGCTATTCAATCTTAGAGGAAAAACATCTGGTCAAGTTACTTGATGTCGCTCAACATGTTCGTTGGACTGGGAATTGATGAACCATGAACCAATGTTTTTATATATTGTATACAAAGTTTTTGGATAAACCTGGATAGTGTAAAGGTTTCTTTTGCCACTTTGATGGGATACCTGCTACCCAGCAAAAAATCGTGCTGGTTGGATAGTGTACAGGTTGAAATGTTCTGCGCTGTTTAGCTTTGAAAGGGTGCAGGGTATCTAAGAGCAACCAGCACGGGTATGTTAGCTGCGCTTGACCAACTACACCGCAGTATTTGTTTGTTTTTTTTCCATGAGTATTGTGAAATTGGAGTCCCTTGAACATCCTTCAATTGACATGTGCCGGGGTCATTTTGGTGGATGTTTGTTCCGGTTCTGTGTGAAATGCGAGCAAGCGATATATATATATATATATACATAATTATATATATACCTATATATGTAAACATAGGCAGATGTACATACATAATCATATATATATATATAATATAATGACATATTATGATATGATATGTATATCAAACATTCTCCACCTAATTTCATGGATGAATAACCAATGAGATGATTGTTGGTTAAAAATATGGTTATATCCCAATTCACGGTTCCCATTTTCCCCTCACGAAGTGTCAGAAGTTGGTCCTGAAACCTGGCTTTGTTCGATTTCATTTGGCAGTGTGTCAAAACCAACAGTACCCCTGTAGTTCACATCAAAATAGCTGGGATTTATGGATGTTCATCCCACTAAAAATGGTATTCATAGGTATTGATCCATACCCATTTTTGGCTGTTCCCATTGCTGGTCCGAAAGCCCCACCCCGTTTTTTTCGCCCAAATTGGTTCTGGTCAGGTCGTGCGGGGAAGTTGCGCAGGTGTTGATCGTGAAAACGGCAGAGCCTCGGCTATGCTTCGCCGTTTTTTCCTTCAAAGATCTTTGCTTCGTGGTTTCAGAGAATCCCATCCTACCAATATTAAAACCACCCCCCGGCGCGGGACATCGAATACCAAACCAGGGGGTCTAGGGGGGTGGGAATCTATCCATGCCATACCTTGGGAGGATGTGTTGCGGTATACATGCCCAAAAATGAGATGATGATTCCCAATTGACAAAACAAGTTTGGGTCATACATCCCACATGCATTATTCTAGATCTATTACATCCCACATGCATTATTCTAGATCTATCCTATTATACCTATATATGATTCTACACTTATACAGTTGTTTCATTATGTTAATGTCAAACAGTTATGATGACAATAATGATAATCATAAACGTTTGTATGGGATACTATGTGATAAGTGACTTTTTGGTTGTTAGACACTACTGATTCTTGACTCGCAATCTGTGTATTCAGCTGGGTCCCAGGGTGATAAACCCCATCCAGCTGCGAGGCATTGCTTCCAGCAATGTGAGTCAATGCCAGTACCCTCTGGGAATGACTGTTACACTTCGCTATTGAAGCCATGGCCATTGAAATAGTTGATTTACCCATTAAACATGGTGATTTTCCATAGTTATGTGGCTGTTTACCAGAGGGTATATATCATAAAACTCATTATTGACTGTCATCCGATATCCTGTTTCTTGATGTGCGAGAATACATGTCAACTTGGCCTGGGTTCGAATTCTGAATTTTCTCCACAGAAAATTGAAGATGTGGGGGGGTACTTGTACCCCCAAAAAATGGATCAGAATGGTCGCGTCAAAAAATGGAAAACATTGATAAAGCATCAAATTTCAGGGAGCCTATTCTTAGACACACCCCAATGATCACATGCATAGTGATGCAGAAGGAGTGGCTATCCTTGTTCCCACCATCCGCCGGATTGTGAAACCCCCATGGTTTCACCATTTCTCCGTGGCAAACGGTACTGAAAAATCGGTGCGAACGGTTTGACCGTTTTCCTTGTCCATCCAAAATGTGATAATGATCCTCTGGTAAACTAACATAGCTATTGAAAATGGCCATAGAAATATTGGATTTACCCATTAATAGCATGGTGATTTTCCACGGTTATGTTAGTTTACCAGAGGGTAATGATCCCAATTGACTGGTTCTTTTGGGATGTCTGGCTCACTTTGGCTCACCACTTTGGCTTGACCCAACTGGTTCCTAGAACTGGTGGAAAGACGGGTGAATCTATGGCGAAACCATGGGTTTGACAACTGAGTAAACATCCCAGTCCCCGGTCAATTTTCACAATAAGATAGATAGATAAGATAGATAAGAAAGATAGATAAGATAGATAAGAAAGATATATAGTTAAGAACGATAGATAAGGAAAGAAAGAAAGAAAGAAAGAAAGAAAGAAAAACAAGAAAGAAAGAAAGAAAGAAAGACAGAAAGAAAGAAAGAAAGACAGATAGACAGACAGTTAAATAGATAGATCCTGACACTAGAAATCCCGATATATCCTATTCATAATATTCCCAGCTAGGAACCTCCACTAATACTAGTAGTTTGGGGATTTCCCAGCTTGCCATGGAAATGATGACACCGGATATCGTCTCACCGCTAGGATGGTCGCTCTCGGGGCTTCGGCTTCGTAGAGTTCAAAGATTTCGAAGGCGGTGGCGGCGTTGCATTTCGCGTTGGAATCTGTATGTTTAAAACCCCTTGTGATTGGTTATTTAATGATATTTAATGGGTATTTTACCATCATCTTCAGAGACAGTTTAAACCATCAAGAACGGGCATATCATTGATAAAGAATGGTTGGTTGATTGATGGTTGGTTCTGGGGTGCAAAACTATCCAAGATTAATTGGGAAGTATTATAATCCATGAACTGGGAAACCCACTCTCAACCAGTGAGTGTACAGGGACGACACAGAGTTTCGAACACTGCTCACATGGGTCTGGACATGGATATCCCCAAAATGGAAATTGAACGTCTTTAATGCAAGAATCCCCAACCAATTCGAATTTGTTGGTCTTATATGGTCTTATGATGGGCTTTATCAGGTTCCACCGTAACGGGCCCCAAATGCCCAACGTTCATCCTGGGCAGGTGCGCAAAGTGCCATGATCTTGTCCGATAGCAACTTGCATGACTGCGGACTCGGAGCCAACAGATGGGGATGATGAGGGCCTATGCCCAACATTATTGTTAGGAAAAAACCCTATGAAACCACATCAAACCCATGGTTTTTGGTGAGAACAGAACCACATGAAAACCAGCTATGTTCATGTGAGAACCAGACTTTCGGACCAGGATTTCTTGGGGGTTCAGTTCCAGTTGTAAAATGGATATGTACCCATGTAGTTACAGTAGTTCTGGGGGCCTAACATTTTAAAAAACAAGTTACTGGGGCGCCAGCACCATAGTTATAAATATAGAATAGATATATATATATATATGTATATATATATATAATATAGTTATACCCATTTATACCCATAGAAATTTGCACCCCCCAAGTACGGCATTTTTTTTTTGCCCATCATCCCACCCTAAAAATGGGATGATCATCCCTAATTGTCGGTGCCATAATACCCAGCAATGTTGAATCTATGGAAAATCTAACTTATTTGGCAGTGTGTCAAAACCTTGTACCCCTGGTGAACATCAAAATAGCTGGTAAATGGATGTTCATCCCACTAAAAATGTATCTATAGGTATTGACCCATACCCATTTCGTTGTATGGCTATCCCGAATGTGTTCCCAAAATCTTTTTTGAAACGTGAAACTGCCAAAAAAATCTCACATGGGGCAAGGCCATGTTCCATCATGTCTATCGGATAGTCTATCGCCCAGCTCTGTGGATTGATGATATGGTCCCCGGTCGAGATGGGACCACAGAATGGGGCTGTTTAGTTTGTGTACCGCGGAATCGGATTGTCTAACTATCCCTATTCTATCCCCATTTAAGTATCCCTGTTATAAAACTATTCTACAGCCATTATAAGTATCCTAAAGTTATATATATAGGTAAAAAAAACAGTTGTGATATATATATATATATATATAAGAGTATCCTAATAAGCTACAACAGTTTGGTCATAATAAAACAGTTCTTATCACCATAAACAGTTGTGATACATATATAATCATATATAAGTATCCTAATGCCAAACATCCCTTTTTTTAAATCACCATTAAAGGGTACCATATCCCGTCGCCGTTCTTCGTCAAGGCGTCCTGTGCGGCCGTGAGATCGTGGTCTCCAAAAGCTCCAGGCCCATCACCCAGAAGAAGAGCAAGGCGCGGCCCGGCCAGGATCTGGTATTTTTTCAGGGTGATATATGACATATATATATATATATACATATGTACGTATATATATATATATATACACATATTATATATATATGTATGTATACATATTGGAAACCTAACTGTTAGGTCTTGGGCCATCTCTGACAATGAGGTACAACCGCGCAATTTCTGGCCAGTGAATAATGGATACAATAGGGGACATAATGATAATCCAGTGGAATCTGGGGGTACCTCGCTGTCAGACAAAGCCAGATGGGCCGCCTTGACAATTTTTGCTAGCTGTGCCTTTTGGCCCACAATTGAACTACATTTTTCTGGCATGTTGTGAACTATGAATGTGGGTAAAACAATGCCATAAACCATCCCCCAGTCATCACCATGTTTATAGATGTTATGTTTACCATTCCCAAATGGACGGTTTATCGGTTTATTCTTTATCCACATTGTATGAATATAGATATACTATAACAGCATATAATCATAGATAATACTATAGATATATCCTATAGATAGTATTATTATCCCCATAGATATACTATAACTATAGTGATGTTACCCACATTATTCCCATTAAAACCTCCATTTTCTAAGGGATTTCCATGGAATTTTCCAGGCCCACAAAAACACAACACCTCACCTTCCAGGATGAAGATGAAGAAGGCAAGGGAAGCAGACTTGGCAGCGCTGGTGGATGGCTGGATGGGTGGATGTAGGATGCAATTTGGAAGATCTGTCAACACAATGACCCCTACCCTCTGGTAATTTAAGATAGCTATGGAAAATCACCATTTTTAATAGGGAAATCAACTATAAATGGGCCATTTTCCATAGCTATGTTCGTTTACTGGAGGGTAAATGCTCAAGATTTTTTTTGTGACATTATTTGTTCAAGGCAGGAATTGACTCTTTAGAGACCCTGCGTCAACCTGTAAACCAGTCAGCATGATCTACGACTAGACCGCGCAAGAGCAACAATGGAACATATCGTGCCTTTGTATATCAGTAGGCCATGAAATGCTTCTGTGTCGTAAACGATATTCAAACTCCATTTTAGGTAGACCGCTGTTGAAGGCACATCCCGACTGATCTTGAATGTCGATGGGTCAGAATTGGCTACCCAAAAACTACTCAAAATGACTAAACCCTCTGGGGGGATTCCAAACTTTGCTTGCTATTTGGACCTGGAAGCTCGACAAGCCAAGGCAAGTTTAAGGGCAAAGGAGAGAAAGGAGAGAAAGGAGAGAAAGGCAAAGGTTGCTCGGCATCACCAGTTTGTTCGGCACAGGAACCAACCAGAGAGTCTCCCACTTCGACTTGAAGCCGAGTTTTTTTCGGCTCGCCCTCCAATATCCCAGGAAAAGGCAAGGAGGGGAAGGACAAAGGCAAAGGCAAAGACAAAGACAAAGGAAAGGAGAAAGGAGCCCGGCGTCGCTTGGAGGACGAACCAGAAGCGAAGAAGCCAAGGCGGGAACCCGGGAACCCTTCGGCTTGGCACGCAATGTGCAGAGGCACGTCAGACATGGGCCAAAAAGATGACTTAGATCTACTGCTGGAGAAGAGACATACAGTATGATTTCATAATAATGATGTAACTGTACATGTTTATATTTTATTTAATTATGTGGGTGATTGTATATATACGCATAATTCATATATTTGTTTGTTTGTTTTCCATCTCTATAACAGCAGGACGATGAACGCCATCAGCATACTTCAACAGCTACATCAATGACTTGACCCATAGCCATATTAACGTGTATATATAGATATAGTAGTGTATATACACTAATATGGTTATTGTATAGTATAATATGGCTATGCGTATATATATGTATATGTATAACATTCACTATATATATATACACATTACTTTGGCGACTTTCTGTCCTCAAAAATCATGACTCCCTGCTATTCAGATCATTCACCTTTTTTTTTTTACGTGTTTGAGAGGGTACCCCTAGTTCCAACGGATTCTCATGATAAAAATGTAAGGACAATCCCCGTTTCGCACACCGTCATGTTGTTCATGTTTGTTTAATCCCATTATATATATATCCATATCATATCATGGTTGGCGGTAGACCACCATATTGATTGTTTAATCCATATTGTTGAGGTTACATCCCTTCATGTTCCCTTTTTTTACCACCGTGTTTGATGCTTAAGCCATGGCAAATCAGCATTCTTGATCATTCTTGTTGGTTACACAATTATTTCTTGGTGAAACCCAGAATTTTGAAATTTGTTGGTGAAATCCCACTTTATGGTTGATTCACTCAAACTTTCTGTTGCAGGCTGCAAGAGCCTGAGGAGGACCAGATTAGGGTGCAGGGGAAGGGTGGATAAAAGCGTCAGATTACTCCAACTTATATATGATACAAGTTAAGGTTTGTGTTTTTCAGTTTATATCTATTTATCATATAGTTTAATAAAATTTGATATTAGCTAGTATAATATACTCAATATAATCGAAGATACTTTCATGTAGTTTAAGCACATATGATATGAGTTCATAAAATAGAACTTGATATTTAGAATTTAATACACTAATAATATATTGTCATATGATATAATATCATGATATACTATACTATACTTTATTCTACTCTACTGTCCTGTCCTGTAATGTATATATATATATACATAGTAAATACAATGGTAATATAGTGTGATATAATCTAATATATTATACTATACTATGCTATACTATAGTATAATATACTGTACTATAATATAGCATAATATGTCCAGGGACCCTCGGACACCGCCACAACAGTTTTTCGGGACTTAGCGGCCAGCGGGCAACTGCTCTGTGTGAATCGAGAGTTTCCGTGAATCATCAGATCTGGTTATGACTAACATAACATAGCCATGGAAAATCACCATCTTTAATAGGTACACCATCTATTTTCATGGGCCATCTATACCATGGCTATGTTAGTCATAACCAGAGGGTATACTGTAAATCTTCATCCGGTCCAGGACAGGGAGTCATGGACCCCCCTGGAAGAACCACGTCCGTCACGTCCACGTCTCCCAGGCTGCAACGGCCGCTGCTCCGGCGGCCGAAGCAGAGAAGGCGGACGGCCCCATGTCCAACGCCGACTTCCGGAAGTTTCTGCGGCCGTGAGAAACATCGAGAGTGGTGGGATGGGCGTGACACCCTCCGGAACTTGTGATGAAAGGAATACTATAAGATCATGAAAGGGGGGAATCACCAGAGACTTGAGTGGAAATTGGGGTTGAACATGTGGCTTGAACTTAAACCAGCATGGGAGTTCCAGGAAGAGAAGGTACTCGAAATGGTGGCCTCAATCTCCCTCAAATAGGGAAAACCCCCAGTCATATATGTTATGATGAAATGGGATAGTTACTCGGATAGTTGTAGCAAGTCCAAATTGTGTGTCGTACAGTGACCTTTCCCATATTTTCTAGGGTGGATTCAAATCCCATGACAGTGGCAGGGTGCCTTCGTGGTTATCCACGATGGCTGTGAAATGTTTCTAGCAGCGGGAACATGTGCGAAGATCCACGAAAAACTCTTGACAGCGAGGGACCCTGTTGGATCTATCGCGAAGTTTTTGGTTCGTTCACTGTGTGTCACCTATGCTCCAGCTGTGTGCCTGGATCAAGCCAACAATTCCTGCCGATCACGTGCAAAAACCATCTCACGTGAGGAAGAGAGACAGTTTGCATAGTCAAATTCTGTGTCACAATTGAGGGATCCTGTAGCTGCGCAATGCTGCGCATATGTTTAAATTCCCATCCTGACCAAACGTGACACCACCAGCCCATTGTGGATCCTTTGCAGCCATGGCAGCCACCGGTGGCACGGAAGCACGTGAGGCACGGGTCAGAGGATGGGTCAAAACTGCTTCTATGAAACCAGATCATAAACACCGGCTACTTTGGTGTGAAGAGAAGGTTACCAGGGTGAATAAACCATCATAAAGCATCATAAAACCATGTCTTCCCAACATGTTGGTGTTTTGGCATGTTTTGGCATTTGCTTCGCTCCTGGGCATGGGATGGCTTAATCCCTTCTCAAGGTCGGGATAGTCCATGAACTTGAGCCTGAACTAGGCACTGAACTCCCATTAAGCCCCTGTTTTCTGGCACCCTTTCCAAGCTGCTACCCCAGCATCCATGTTTGATCTCTTCAACGACAAGACATGACGATACTTTCGTTTGAGCGCCAACAAAAATGCTGTGTCTGAAGATGCATCAACTGGTTGACCATGATTTTACCCTCTGGTAAACTAACATAGCTATGGAAAATCACCATTTTTAATGGGAAAATCCACTATAAATGGTCATTTTCAATAGCTACGTTAGTCATTACCAGAGGGTACCAGTATGTTACTGGCACATCGAGCACCTCCAGGGCCGCTTCTTGCTGGACATGTCGCAATTCTTTGGAGGCCGGATGTTCACCTCTGGCTCCATGGAGGTTTCCTAAGTCATGGGGGTATCCCCCAGACTCGCTGGATTCATGGATAATCCCCATGGAAAATGGATGACTGGGGGTACCATAAAATGGAGGAAACCTCCATGTAGCCAGTGGGGCTACCCCAAGCACCATTTTTTAGCCATGCTGAACGTTCAGCTCAAAAATAGCCATCAGGTAGCCATAAAGACCCCAACCAAAAATTTGGCTCTCCAAAGGGTTGATCAGCCGCCCAAAGCCGCCCCAGTGAAATGGAGACTGATCCACCAAAGTCATTGGGATAGCAGCCAAAACACATAAGAACATGTCATCAAACATATCATATTCACCCCGCTTCGCGTGGGGTGGCCGCCCACACCGCAGGTTTATTTCGGTCAGTGAGAGGGGCTAAGGGTGGTGTGGAATATGAGGAGCAGAGCAGCACAGGAGAATTGACATACATAACTGCTGGGTTCGTGAATATTTTCACTTTCCTTTCCCGTGGGGGCTCCCCAAGCTAGGGAATTTTCACTTGAGCCCCCCGTGGGGGCTCCCCAAGCTAGGGAATTTTCACTTTTCCCCCCCGTGGGGGCTCCCCAAGCTAAGGAATTTTCACTTTTCCCCCCCGTGGGGGCTCCCCAAGCTAGGGAATTTTCACTTTTCCCCCCCCGTGGGGGTTTCCCAAGCTAGGGAATTTTCACTTTTCCCCGCCGTGACAGCTTCCCAAGCTATGGAATTTTCACTTTTCCCTCCCTTGGAGGCTCTCCAAGCTGCGGAATTTCAAATAGCTAGACAACGACGCCTAGATAGTCCCCCAAATCCCGTGTTCTTTGAATGTGTTTCCATGTTTTTGCAATGGTTTCCTTCAAAGCACGGTACTTTACACTTTTGTCGCCATAAAACCGGTCGAAAACATCATGTTCGACAATGCTTCCAATTCCCTTATCTCCCCAACCGTTGAAAATACCGCTATTTACAGTGTTTTCTTCAATTTTTCCATGTTCCAATGCCGGTAGCCAACTCCAACATATATATAAGAAATCCTTCCAAAACATTGTTTTTGACAGTGTTTTTCCAATGTTTCCAGTCAAACAGATGGTAATTTACACGTTTTTTGCCATAAAGGCAGTAAATCCTTCCAAAACATTGCTTTTGACAGTGTTTTTGTAATGTTTCCAGTCAAGCATACGGTAATTTACACGTTTTTTGCTATAACGTCAGTCCAAAACACTTGTTTTTGCAGTGTTTTCAATGCTCTGGCATCCAAAAACCCTGCAAAATCTTGCTATGTACAATGTTTTTTTCATTTTTGGCCGTTTTTCCATTGCCGGAAAGCTACCAAAATGACCCAAAATTCCATTTCAATACAGTGGAATGCTAAAGTCGTTTGACTGTACCCTCTTGCGCTCAGACACCCAAAAATCCTCGAAAAATGTCGAAAACACCACCGTATTCTGGTCTCGGTGCGAAACCGTTTTTGGCCCCCCCCAGCTAAAGCTGATATAGCGACTGCTATATTAACAAATGTGATTGAGCATTTAGTGTAGCTGTTTCCCCCCAATAAGCACGCCTTCACCGCCAAAGCGGTGTGGGTGGATTTAGTATTGTATCGTAGTCAACTGGGTTTGAACATGGGGGTACCCCCACAAAATTACAATTTTCGTGAAACAAAACATACCAAAACAAAGATGACCCATCAACTCTTGGAAGCCTTGGAAGCCGCGCTGAGGTCAGGTGTGGCTGGACGTGACTTCCGTGGCAGAGTCCGTGCGCAGCGACAAGTGGAAGCTGCTGGTGGCCTGCATCTTGATCGATCTCATAGGCGCCTCGGAGCTGGGCGGGATCTGGGAACTCATGGGGAGATTTGATGATTTTGGGAACAACGTTTGACTGGTTGGTGGTTTGGAACATGAATTTTATTTTCCATAGTATATGGGATAATCCTTCCCATTGCCTAATATTTTTCAAGATGGTTAAAACCACCAACCAGTTGATATTTGGGTCGGGAAAATGGAGTGTTGGCCCCCTAGAATTGCAATTTTCAGCCGGAATTTGGGCTGTTCCCGAACAAACCCTAAGTGGCAATAAGAGCGGTTAGTCTGTGGTGAGTTTCCCCAGTTCTAAATGGCTATGCGGGGGGATGGATGGACCCCCAAATGATCCCAAATGAATATTCAATTGGTAAGAGGATTACAATGATATACAATGATGATATTCATATTTACATTCACATTATATATACATATATATATATATAATTATATAATACATTATAATGCAATCATGATAATATGTGAATACATATATATATATATATATAATTATATAATACATTATAATGCAATCATTTTTGTTTATTCACAATCATCATTTTATCATAGGTAATGTGATGACAAATGATGATTGTGAATAAACAACAATCACATGGATCGCGGGTAGCTTTTCCAATGGATCGGTCTTGGTCTATGGCACTTTTTTGGGGAGACCATGGGATACCCGTGGGAAACATCGAAAAAGCGACATGGAAAATGGCCCAGTCGAAATAGTGGATTTATATAATTACCCATTAAACATGGTGGATCCTTCCCATCAGTTTTTTGTGACTGTTTCCCAGTACTGGTACCGACTTAGATTGCCATTTGAATTGGCATTGGATAACGGTCAAGCATTGGATTTTGAATTCGCCTATTGACCCGGCGGATTTTGTCCATTGCCATTCCATTGCCAGAGGGGTTTCCGTTTTTGGATCGTTTCCATGGATGGTCATGACACGGGTCCTCTTGTTGAAAATATACGAGTTGAATTTCTTGAATTTTTGCATTCCTACTAGTTCTGCAAAATACTGCAAAGTCAGCTGCTTCAGAACAATCCGAGATCCGAGAGCCGTGTGGTCAATTGGTATGGAAATTAAGACCTAGAGTCCAGAGATTGGAAAGTCTTGTACAGAACAGCGTTGTTGTCATTGTCACGTCTCTTCTTCTTGTTGTTGTTGTTGTTGGCGGTGGTGGTCACTGTATTGTTGTTGCTATTGTTTTTACATACCACTGAAATAGACTCATACTGACTCATACTATAGTTACTATAGTATCTATAAGCATGTAGTCATGTAGTCCCTATTTATCGTGGTGTTTTTCCTGAGCAATATTTTACCATGCATTGCAACATCTTGTGGCGTTCGTTTTGTGCTATCACCCTGAGGGAGATAGAATATGTGGGATTTGAGTGAGGATCCTTTGAACAGATCCATATTCTATTCTATCTATATATATATATATATTTTATATAGAATTATATAGATATCTAATGTAATATATATATATATATCTAAAGAAACTGCATCCATCCATGCGACTTCGACAACCTAAGGAATGGCCAGCTATCTGATCCTGCTGGTGGGGGAGGCTGGGCTTTGACTGCGGAGGGTGTGCCCCAGATTTCAACGCCAAGAACATCCAACAACAAGTTCTCACATCAAGAAATATGAGCCATTAAAAATACCATGGTTGATAGGTTATTATGGAGATCATACTATCTGGTTTAATGGGGATTATAATAAACCATAATAGGGATAACTACTAACCAACCAGTATAATGGGATGGGATAGGGGTATTTTTCATGGCTCATATGTCTTATGGTGTCTGCGAAAGACAACATAGAGCATCATGTGGAATCATGGTGTTCTGCAAGCATTCGGGATCTTATGGTGCGGGATCTACATTGTTGACATTTGTTGATCTTCAAATCATGAATCAACAAATATCAACAATGTAGAAGGATCAAATTTGTTGATATATTGTTGATATTTGTTGAATGAGTGCTGAAGGAGATGAAGGGAGGACCCAGACACCATTTCGCTTGTTTCGGTGGTTTTTTCGGAGGGGACGATCCACATGGGTCGGCATACGGCCGTAACCTTCGTACTGGTTATAGTTCTATAATCAATGGGATTTTCCCCATAAAATATGGCCTTATATGGCACAGTAATGTACAGTACCTCCATTTTAGGATCCTGAAATTCCCATTGATATAAGTCTTTTGCATTCTTTTGCTAGGAATGGTAATAAAATCGACCCAGGAAAATAGATCCCCTGCTAGAAAACACAACTCGACATGGCATGATGCGCCAGGTTGGCGTTCCCCCTGCCTTTCCCCTGTTTCGCTTTTCGCAGCGGTCGCAGCGTTTCGAAGGTCTTTGCCCAACATCAGGATTCCGCAAACCTGGAGTTACATTGATAGCTAAATATCCTCAATGATCAAACATCATCGTGCACAACTCATTTGGAGGTTTCCTGAAACAGGGGTACCCCCAGTCATCCTCCATCAAATATTCAATTGGCTTTTCCATAAACCATCCAGCGAGCTTGAGGTACCCTCCTGACTTAGGAACCCCCTACCCTCTGGTTATTTAACGTAACCATGGTATAGATGGCCCATGAAAATAGATGGTTTACCTATTAAAAACATGGTGATTTTCCATGGCAAACTGTTAGTCATAACCAGATGGTAATCCTAGATTTTACTATTTATTACCTGGGCTATTTAAAAATGGGTGGATCTTTCCATATGGCAAACTGTTACTCATAACCAGATGGTATATATCTGGGTAAATTATAACTATCACTATATCTGTTCTAATGTCAACCATTGATGTTTGTTAAAGTGAAAATGACCATTTAAAGTGAAAATGACCATTTATAGTGGATTTTCCCATTAAAAATAGTGATTTTCCATAGTTATGTTAGTTTACCAGAGGGTAAATAACCAAACCCCATATTTTTTTCATCCCAAGACTTGCTCGCAGATCACCGACCTGATGTGGGCCCCCATCGCCGGCTTTTTGCTTCAGTACCTCGGTGGTTGTGGTGTGAAGCGCTTGGCCGCGCGAAGCCACCGTTGTTTGTTTCCCATTAGAATTACCATCTGGTTATGACTAACATAGCCATGGAAAATCACCATTTGTAATAGGCAAACCATCTATAAATGGGCCATTTTCCATGGCTATGTTAAATAACCAAAGGGTAGAATACACATTGATTGTTTCAAGAATCTATGGTTTCCTGATTTTTGAGCAGTTAACCAATGGGTTGCTTGGAAAATGAGGAAACCTCGCCTCGATTTTCCCATCTTCAGATCATGGGGCTTTCCGGTTTCAATTTTCCAATGGTCGATCCTGTGCCGAGGTATCTTTTTGGAAGCTTACTCGCGACCTGGCAACGAAAAGGATGTGGGATGGGCTCTCCATGAGTTCTTTGGGGAGACATGTTGTGAGTTATGATCAACTTAGATAATTTTAGGGTAATTAATCTAGTTTCAGACAAACCCATGTTTCCTTGTATCAAAACATGACACACTTATTGAATATCTTGGAATTTTTCCAGATATCTGTCGTCACTGTGCTGGTTCATGCTGGTTTCCACCACGGGACCACCAAGAAAACTCACATTTCCCCGCCATGGATTGCTTGGTGCATCCAGTCACCAGTCCCATCCTCAGAGTTGACGCAACAAAAAAACACAGTTTTGACATAGAAATGTCGGTGACAAACCACATCACCACTTTGGATATTGATAAAAAAACAATAGAAACTTAGGCATCTGGAAAACAAACCTGGATTTAAGTAGATGATTTACAGTGAGTACCCGTTGAAGTTGAGGATTTGTTACTAACCTCAATTTTTTTTGGTTCTCCAACAGGACATTGAAACATCCATGAATTATCATTGAAATCGAGGATGGTCCAATCCGAAAACTTGACGAAATCGCCCAGTTGACCCAACCCCTGCTCGTTGTAACTTCTTCCAAGACAAGTTGGAGTTGGGGTATTGCAATTTTTTCAAAAACACCACAGAGTTCTTAAGTGGAATTCTTGATCCTTAATTACAGTAAGTGATCACTCGCTTTTTTTTTGAGGTGCTTTGTATATGTTCACCTGTTCACCCATCGAAGTGTCAGTAGTCTCCATGTGACCTGGCCTAGTCCAATGACAGAGCCAATGACAAGCGATGACGTTTCCATAGAACTAATCCCAGATAGTCAATACAGAAATTAATTCTTAGATGTGGGATTTTTCTATGGTATCAACAATGGATAATATCAACAATGGGAGTATCAATTTCGACTGATAAATATATGGGTACCCTCCAGTAAATTAACATAGACCCTGCCAGATAGGGGTTGGAAGACTAGTTTCCTCTAAAAATGGGTGATTTTCAGGGTCTATGTTTATTTACCAGAGGGTATGGGTCAAAGTTAGATATTCCTTTTTTTACGGCTCAAATTGGATTAACATTGGACAGCTCGTTTTTTTGAAATGAACAGACTCTGCGGTCCCCTGGGCCGAAAACAATTTCTGACCCATGACATTTCTATGTGGGGTTGTCTGCAAATAGGGTACCCTCTGGTAAACTAACATAGCTATGGAAAATCACCATGTTTAATGGGTAAATCCACTATAAATGGCCATTTTCAATAGCTATGTTAGTTTACCAGAGGGTACCCAATTCCATCCAGTGATTAATCAAACGTTTCCCTTTTACTTGATGGCTATGTCGAAAGGTATAGCCCATTTTCATCCAGTTTCAGACAGACCCATATCTGAAGGAAACTTAAGTCGTGGTGCCACCCTGCAATTTCCGGGGGGACGTGTCTGTGTTGAGCCACTGCCTTCAACCGATGTTTCCGGCATTTTCTTTCGTCCAGCAGGGAGGCGTTAATCGAGAAACGTTGAGTAGCGGCATTGTGTCGCCATGTCAAAAGTAGATGCATGAAATATAGATAAACCATGATAAACATAGATAAACACATTCGAAAATTGCGATCAGGATGTTTCTCAAGTATCCATTTGCTGGGATACAAACGTTGGGAAGCGACCCTCCAGTGGCTAGTCAGACCATAGAACACACAGTCCTTCATTATGCCAATACAATCCAGGTTGTTGGGAGAGTAAAACACAAATAAGTTATATAAGTATAATTATATATACACATTATTATATATTATATAGTTATATCATATATACATATATATATATACACATATTTGATCAAGGAAGTATGTGGGAAACAATGAGCAAATTTTCCTGGAAAAAAAATCATTGTTCTTTTTTATTGACGGTTTTTTTCTTGGAAAAAATATCAGGAAAGTCTTGATGTCTAGCGGTGCGTGACCCTTGGCCGTCCTGGTAGCACCGTCATGGGATTCCGGTTGGTGGTTTTAACATGTTTTAACCCCTCTGAAAAATGATGGAGTTCGTCAGTTGGGATGATGAAATTCCCATTTTTTTTGGGAACACGGAAAATAATTCCAAACCACCACCCAGAATTAATTGTGATGTACAATTCATCAGTGTCCCAACAAAAAAACGGCCAAAAGTTGCGTTGCGTAAAACGACTTTTTCAACTATCAAATAACACCAAATTTGAGTAGGGAGAACCCAGTAAAAACCCCTCCCATTTTCCACTTGGAATCGGACACACAGCCAGTGTTTGGCGCTGAGGTGAGCTCTCTGGGCACTTTAGAAGAGTTTCTGCCCTTCACCGACATTTTGCCGACTGCCACACTTGCATGGGTGACTTATCTTGGCACTTGGCTGGGTGGTTTCTTAGGGATAGGTAGAGAATGGTAGAGATGCGATTGGCGTTTGGGCTCCACTTGGGTATTTGGGCCATATCCCAACTATCCCCAACTTTTGGGGGATCTCTACTGCACGCCCAAATGGGCACTGTATATAGATGGTTGCCGTGGCAAATTTGATCCAGCTGCAGATAAATAAAACTGTCAGGGCTGTTGGATGAAAGGAAAAATAGGGGCCCCAAGTGGAAACACAATTGAGATGGTGACATCTGGTCAAACTAGTACATTAATTCATTTCCATTCCATACATCATTCAACGATTTGGGGTCATTTGATGGTTTATCATCATATTTCCTGCTAAAATAACACAACATAAGGGACGACTCCGCCATTTTCAGACATCCCCAAATATTAAGCTGCCTGACACTTGGGGTATTTTCTATTTGCCAAACAATGGGCCACGGCCCATCGATGTGCCCAAGCTGAGGCGATCTGCCACTTGGAATGCTTGTCTTTTCTGCGGCTCTTGCTGGGTGTACAGCGCCATAGCCCAGCGGCGGTGGAGGATAAGGAAGATTGAGGACGGTTTTTTCGAAAATCCCAGATGATCATGAACTATGAGTTTTGGTTAAGATGATGAACAAATTGTATCGTTTTAAGTCCTCGATAAAATGCCTTCCTGGATGGTGTCCATTAACATCATTTTCCATGTCAACCGCGCTTCAGCGGCTTTTGAGCGCCCAAAACAGCTGGGCTGGCCGCGATGAACACATACCATTGATTCCGCGATGACGATGGATTTGGACCGTCAAAATTGGAAAACTGAGCAGGTGAACAGCCCGCCGGTCTTTTCTGGTGGGATTTTCCGCAAATGAAGGGATCAAGTACTACACCAGGGTTTCCTTTGGGGGGCATTTAATCGGGGGAAGGGATTATAACCATATATGACATCTGCAATACAATCCAATATCAACTCGGGTAGTATTATCACCCCGTGTACATCTGTCTACTTTTAGCAGTAGGAGCCGGTCCCTTCGCTCTACCATGTTGAGTTTACCCCACTGCATTGCTGCCTTGAATCTCTCCATTTGGAGCATAGCCTTTGAATAGAATTTGAATGTACAATTTGAATACATATGAATACATAGTTTACATACATGTGAATCATTATAGTGAATCCATATTGAAAACAGCATGAATACATACTGAGTACATACTAAAGACATGCATAGTATACATCATGAACACGTCATGCCGCAGCTGATCGAGATCACAGCTGATCCGAAATGACGGACGGATGGACCAAAACCATGAAACAAAGCTATGAATTCATGGTGATTCATTGGGGATTCATAGAAATTTCAGTATGAAAAATCGGTATTTTTTTTTGGATCTACGACCATTGACCAGTGAAGATGTGGTGTCAGAAGGGCCTGTCAGGGTGAACTTGGTTGGTTTCTACAACTCGTTCCCCCGTGATGTTTGTCATTCGTGGGCTCCACCGGCCATTGGTACCAATTCGTGCCTCTAGTTTTTTTGTTTTATCTATAGCCACACCTTTTTCGGAGATTCGTTGTGATTTGTGATTTGTAGCGTTACCTTACAAGAAAGAACATTTTTTGTTGACCGCTAAGAAGCCCTGAGGCTTCGTAGTCTCGATTTGCGATTGGGTTCAGCACATCAGGTGACTGTCGACCACTAGTCACTCCTGATTAAACCACTGGTAAACATACAAAAAACTATGGAAAATCACCATTTTTAATGGGACAACTCACTATAAATGGCAATTTTCAATAGCTTTTTGTATGTTTACCAGAGGGTAAACCACTAGTGTTTTCCTCTCCCGCCATGAAACTCTGGAATGGCTTTGCCCGGTGGTCGCCTCGGCTGGAGGGGAATGTCGTCATGTTTCAGGTTCATTGTCGCTTGCTGTTATCAGTACGATTCATTATGATTTGTCTTGGCAATATTTGGGAATATTATCGTTTGTTATTGTTGTTTTTGTAGTGTTATTGTTGTTGTCATGATCGCAATCGTTATCGTTGTCGTTACCCTCCTCCTCCTCCTCATCATCATCATCATCATCATCTACTTTAGTTTCTGGGTACAGTAGAACCAACGTCTAAGTTAGAAAATATCTCGCGGCCGGTGACATGGAGTCGTGGATATTAGTCCTAGAACATCCTAGAATGTATCAGCAATGGACCATTCCAAATTTAGTTCGATGATTTTCCAAGTTATAAATTTGCATTTGTAAGGGATTTCCCCTATGAGCCATGTTTGATCACCTTGAAATCCTATTAGAATCCTATAAAACCGCTGTTTTTCAAGGTTTAACCAGCATTTTCCACCCAAAATTCCCAGCAACCCCATGCGCCAAGGCACCTGCCATGCGCGTCCCGTCTCGGCGTCCTTCGAAGTCTTGGGATGGCAGGCCTCGACCGAAGGGATGGTGGTGTTCCATAATGTTCCATAGCAAACTCCAGTTATTTCCAGGGGGGTAAGTTGGATTTATCTACCATATCTACCAGTTATATGGTGAATATCATTGAATATCATTGAATATTTCTATAAAAAATGGGCTTCACCTGATTACCAGTTATTTTTCCGGAATATGGAAGATTTATAAGCCCATTCATATCTACCATATTCCACCATAATTCCAATGGTCAACCTAATGATGTTCACCAACGTGCGTGGGCCCTGTTCCTTCTCCTGCAGGAAACGATGCCCTAATTTGGAGCTGCAACATGCTACAAATGGAGGAACTTGTTTGTCACTTTTCTTTTGCAATCAACGGGGGGGAATCATGTATATAAATTATATACTTATTATATAATTGTATAATATAATTATTATATACTCATTATATAATATAACTGTATATAATTATTTTGATGCTTCTTGTTGTTTGCAGAGTCTCTAAGGTTAGCCATATAGCCCTCTGGCCAAAAAAAAAGGAGCCCCAAGAGACTTGGCCAAGCTACGAGGCTTGACATGGAAATCATCGGGTGTCCGGTCCCTCCATCATAGGCTTTCTTTGTTGGGGTTATCCACCGTCAAAGCCGATGTTTGTTGGGCTCAAGTTTGTGTTGGATAAATCCGCATGTTTGTTGGTTAATGTTGGTTAACTATATATAAAGCTACCGTATAACTTGTCTAAGCCAGCATGAAATCCCCATGAATGGTACAGATGATGTTAGGTCATTTTAAGGAGCCCATTTAATTAGTGTTGGCTCAGCCTCATAGTTTACATAAAATCCCCATATGGGTTTTTCTTAAAGTAGGGAATCCCGCAAGCATGGGTTTCAATACTAACATATACCAAAATCGTTTGTCTGACTTTGGATGATTTGAGGGTAACCCCATGACATAGGAAACCTCCATACATCCTCCATAAATCTCCATTAAACCACCCTTGCTGTACAGAAAACAGGTTCATGGCAGACTCCCTTGTACAGAGCCGCTGGAACGACTGGTGCCTTTGGGAGGCGGTTACACTGTGGCGAGTGTCGGTTTTTCAGGGAGTTCATGGGGAACCGTTCGGGGAGATGTTTCAGTCTGATTTTGTTTTTTCGGATGATGAGTTTTGAATAGTTTTGATCTGCTTCTTCATTGGTTCAAGATCCACCGGTTTTCTGAGAGACAGTCGCTCTGGAAGCCGTGGGGGAACCCACCTGTGGCCAGGTTTTCAATGACCAACCAGCAGCTTGGCAGATCCTTGGGGAAGCCCACAGATCAGCGCTTTGGTGGGCCGAGGTTCAAGACCTTCCCCAGCCACATGCAGACGCGCCAGTGACCGCCAGACAGGTGGAGACGTTCCCAATGCTTTTGATTCAAACCCTGGGGTTTTTACATAGAAATAGATGTGGAAAAGCCATACGGAATCCCTAGGAACATGATCTATATACACATGGTGGCTTAAACCTACATCTATGTAGCTTCACAGGAGCTGACATATTTTCATGGCGAACTCTTTGCATTTATAAAGCTGCTGGACGCCACTGGATTACTGGGGGGATAAACCACAGGACCCACTGAAGACTGTGGAATCTTGAAAAATGGCAGACTGGAAGATGGCTTTCCGCAATTGATGGGTTCCCTGAGAACTATTTGTTCTGCGGGGTGCATAACATAACCAGCCTTTTATAGTGAAGTGGTGTTTTCCCGCAAATTTGATCCATGGCCAGGACCTCAAGGATCAAACAGAACTGATTCTATAGATATCATGTTAAACATGGCATTAATATACATATATGGTTTCATATGGTATGTATATTATGTCATATTTTATACACATTATATATTGTATAGTCATCCAGCGATTGGTTGATTTTCCACTAATGTCGGTAAAACAATGCCTTAAACCATCGCCCAGACATCACCATTTTTATAGGTGGTATGTAAAAACCATTTCCCAGCCATGGGTGGTTTATGGCCTTGTTTTACCCACATTGTATGAATATAGATATACTATAACAGCATATAATCATAGACAATACTATAGATATATCCTATAGATAGTTTCTTATCCTATCATAGATATACTATAACTACAGTGATGTTACCCACATTATTCCCATTAAAACCTCAACTTTCTAAGGGATTCCCATGGAATTTTCCCCATGAAATCACCATAATCCTTGTAAATCCTATTGTTTTACCCACATTTTATCCACATTATCCCCTTGTTTTGCCCACATTATCCCACATTATCCATCATTATCCCGCATAAGATTGCTTGTTGGTGGTTTCAAACATTTTTTATTTTCCATCATATATGGGATAATCCTTCCCATTGACTAATATTTTTCAGAGGGGTAGGACAACCGCCAGCCAGCATGAGATTGGTTGACTATGGAAAAAATGTCCCATCATTATCCCATCATTATTGGTTGTTTTACCACATTTTACTCATCATTACCTACATTATCCACCAGGTACAACATCCAGAAGGTGGTGAACTGGTTCCGCAACCGGCGCTATGCTGGCGCTCCCAGGGACGAAGCGACGTTTGTTGGGCATGTCGTTCATTGGGATTTTGTGCATGTTCATTTGTTTGGATCAATATGTATAATATAATATAATATAATATATAATATATAATATATAATATATAATATATAATATAAAATATAAAATATAAAATATATAATATACAATATATAATATATAATATATAATATAAAATATATAATATATAATATATAATATACAATATATAATATAATATATAATATATATAATATATCATATATAATATATAATATATCATATATAATATATAATTTATAATATATCATATATCATATATAATATATAATATAATATATAATATATAATATATAATATATAATATATACTGTAATATATAATATATAACATATAACATATAATATATAACATATAATATATAATATATAGTATATAATATATAATATATAATGATATGTGTATATATGATAATACACACATATGAATATATATATATATAGATATTATACATATATTCATAGCAAACTAAATTTGTATTTTGATGATTTTTGATGTATTTTGTTATTTGTATATGATATAATCTTAATATCTTAGATTATGTACGTTACGCGCAGCCGGTCTCCTCGATTTGCCGGAGGCATTGGAAGTAGAGAGCAAGCAGCGCAGCACCAAGAACCGAAACCATGCGGAGGTGGCCCTTGGGGGACCTTTTTTTTCTTCTAAACATTGGACGGCCGTGTTGATAGTGTCGATAGATGTTGATAGTGATGATAGTCTTGATGCCCTGTGAGAATTCGTTGGTCTCTCTGTTTGGAACGTTTTTGAACACACAACAGCTGGGAATTGGGAGTTTTTTCTCTCCAACAGTATCCGATTAAAAAATCAACCAATCTGAGGTGCCTGCTCCCAATCTCATGAAATTTAAGACTTGCAAGATTCATGGATTCCAGTAGATTTACATAGATTTACCATCAAGCGCACCCCCAAAAAAGAATAACAAAAATAGATAAGACATGAACAGAGCAAGTTCACCACTATTTTATTTGTATTTTAGAATCGAATTTCAGCAAATTCATCCAATTTTTGGTATCTCGCAGACTTCGATTAAAGGAAAACCTACAGGAGACTGTCCATTTTTGGTGGTTTTGGTGCCAGGGTTTCCAGTGCAGATTTTACCTGAAGCCAATCCATTGAATCAGGTTTTGATCACCAAACATGTACAGCAAGTGATTGGGGATCAACATACGAAAACCAGGATTCTTCATGGGATTCAAAGGACAAATGTGTGTTCTGTAACAATATGGTGATATTTATTGGTTAACATCCAGGGGTTGGTGAATGTGCCGTTTTTTTCACATCAGCTAAAGAAGTATTTCTTGGAGGTTACTGTACCCTCTGGTAATTTGACATAGCTATTGAAAATGACCATTTATATAGTTATGTAACAATATGGTGATATAAAACGGGCTAGCGCCCGGGTGCCGCCGACCCCTCCTTCTTTGGGACACAACGCTATTATGTTAGGTTTACTAGAGGTGGTCATGCTTAATGTGGGGTCAAAGTGCCAGGGTTTTAAGGGTTTTAAGCGTTTGGAGGGTTTTTAAGCGTTTAAGGGCTGGCAAACGGCAGGCTTGGACGCCCATAAGAAGACATTGATGTGTGGCCTTGGAGTGCCTGTTGGCTGCAGGATGAAGCATGCCAAGGTTCCCTTGTGTTTAAGGACTGGCAAACGGCAGGCTTGGACCCCCCATGACGGGTTGTAAGGGTTTTAAGGGTTTTAAGCGTTTGGAGGGTTTTTAAGCGTTTAAGGGCTGGCAAACGGCAGGCTTGGACGCCTATAAGAAGACATTGATGTGTGGCCTTGGAGTGCCTGTTGGCTGCAGGATGAAGCATGCCAAGGTTCCCTTGTGTTTAAGGCCTGGCAAACGGCAGGCTGCGACGCCCATAAGAAGCCATTGATGTGAAGCCTTGCGGGCCTGGCAAACGGCAGGCTTGGACCCCCATGACGGTTGTAATAAGGGTTTTAAGCGTTTGGAGGGTTTTTAAGGGTTTGAAGCGTTTAAGGGCTGGCAAACGGCAGGCTTGGACGCCTATAAGAAGACATTGATGTGTGGCCTTGGAGTGCCTGTTGGCCGCAGGATGAAGCATGCCAAGGTTCCCTTGTGTTTAAGGCCTGGCAAACGGCAGGCTTGGACCCCCCATGACGGGTTGTAAGGGTTTTAAGGGTTTTAAGCGTTTGGAGGGTTTTTAAGCGTTTAAGGGCTGGCAAACGGCAGGCTTGGACGCCCATAAGAAGACATTTGATGTGTGGCCTTGGAGTGCCTGTTGGCTGCAAGATGAAGCATGCCAAGGTTCCCTTGTGTTTAAGGACTGGCAAACGGCAGGCTTGGACCCCCCATGACGGGTTGTAATAAGGGTTTTAAGCGTTTGGAGGGTTTTTAAGCGTTTAAGGGCTGGCAAACGGCAGGCTTGGACGCCCATAAGAAGACATTGATGTGTGGCCTTGGAGTGCCTGTTGGCTGCAGGATGAAGCATGCCAAGGTTCCCTTGTGTTTAAGGCCTGGCAAACGGCAGGCTTGGACCCCCCATGACGGGTTGTAAGGGTTTTAAGGGTTTTAAGCGTTTGGAGGGTTTTTAAGCGTTTAAGGGCTGGCAAACGGCAGGCTTGGACGCCCATAAGAAGACATTGATGTGTGGCCTTGGAGTGCCTGTTGGCTGCAGGATGAAGCATGCCAAGGTTCCCTTGTGTTTAAGGCCTGGCAAACGGCAGGCTTGGACCCCCCATGACGGGTTGTAAGGGTTTTAAGGGTTTTAAGCGTTTGGAGGGTTTTTAAGCGTTTAAGGGCTGGCAAACGGCAGGCTTGGACGCCCATAAGAAGACATTGATGTGTGGCCTTGGAGTGCCTGTTGGCTGCAGGATGAAGCATGCCAAGGTTCCCTTGTGTTTAAGGCCTGGCAAACGGCAGGCTTGGACCCCCCATGACGGGTTGTAAGGGTTTTAAGGGTTTTAAGCGTTTGGAGGGTTTTTAAGCGTTTAAGGGCTGGCAAACGGCAGGCTTGGACGCCCAAAAGAAGACATTGATGTGTGGTGTGGCCTTGGGGTGCCTGTTGGCTGCAGGATGCAGCATGGCAAACGGCAGGCTTGGACCCCCAGGAGGTGGCAAAGGGCAGGCTTGGACGCCCATAAGGAGAAAGAAGACATTGATGTGTCGCCTTGCGGTGCCTGTTGGCTGCAGGATGAAGCATGCCAAGGGAATGTTTAAGCGATGGCTTTTAAGGGCTGGCAAGTGGCCTTGGAAAGCTAAGAAGGAGAAGTTCCACACCTGCGGTGGTCCCAGGGGCCGCCCCTGCCTTGGCCAAGGCCGGGGTCGGCGGATTTATTGGTTAACATCCAGGGGTTGGTGAATGTCCCGTTTTTTTCACATCAGCTAAAGAAGTATTTCTTGGAGGTTACTGTACCCTCTGGTAATTTGACATAGCTATTGAAAATGACCATTTATAGTGGATTTTCCCATTGAAAATGGTGATTTTCCATAGTTATGTTAGTTTACCAGAGGGTATCTATAATTACATTCCCTTTTTATGTTGGATGATGTAAACAATGAAGACATTGACCAACCCCTGAGATCAATGGTCATTCAATGGTGGCTGTTAATTATATGCTATCTACCTTAATTATGTAATTAACTATCATAAGGGTCTATATGAAACTATATGTCCATTGCTTGATATAAACATATATATATATATATAGAAGAGATATAATATGGGGGGTGCCTAAAATATGGCACCCCCAAATCATCCATTTTATTTTCAGATTTTCTATTATCAACCATCCAGCTATTGGGTACCCCCATGACTTTGGACCCCCATATGGATTAATAAACATCTGGGCTGTTTAATTGGGGGTACCATTTAAGTATATTTAAGTATCACATTATCACTATTTGGAGAGTAACCTCCCTAATTGATAAAGTCATAAAACATGATTTAGTCTCATCCGGGGTTGACATTAGAACAGATACGATAAACCAACATCAATGGTTGACATTAGAACAGATATAATGATAGTCATAATTTACCCAGATATATACCATCTGGTTATGACTAACAGTTTGCCATATGGAAAGATCCACCCATTTTTAAATAGCCCAGGTAAAATGGGGGTATCTCATGGCCTGTTCCGTGGACTTGGGACATCTCTTCAGGTGCTGAAGCGTTTCCGCCTGTCCCGCTTTGGTTGGCAACGCCGGCGCTCGCGACTGCGCGACGGGTCTCTTGGTTGTGGCGGTTGAAACCTGGAGTTTGACCAACTACATAACAATGGGGATACAACGGGGATATGGCGGTGATATAAGATATAATTCAAGCATGATTCAATGGTGTTTTATGGAAGTTGCCTATAGACAACCAATAATATGTGGATTTTTTGGGTACCCTATTTTCAGACAAACCCATGTAGTCACGTGTTTTGGGATTTTGAGTTTGGTTGTTTCATCTTGAGCAATGAAGGGTACTTATCCATTACTTTGGTTTTGCAGGCGTAAAATTGTAACGTTGTTTGATTTGATGTTCATCTTCAGTAATTACTTCTTTTTGCATGTTTTGCAGCTGTTTGGACGTGTATATTGTTATTCATATGAGAGGTTTGTGTGGAAATGATTCAACTAGAAGTATATAGATAATGGCCTATGATGGGGAGAGTTATTTTCTAAACCATAGGATTTTGGTGTTCAAGCGGAAATCTTTTGAGACAATCCCATCGACTTCAAGAGTTCTTGATTGTTTCACCTTTAGATAAGGATACAGATCGGGTACCCTAAAATTGAATGGTGGCTATTAATGACAAACCAATCTGGGGTTTTGGCTTCACATGTTATCCCAACAAAATTCTGCCATGTTAGAACTTGGGTGATGTACCCTTGTAGGGGGATAGATATCTACATTAATCTTTCCATTAATACTGTAGGAATTTGTATATGAGAATCAATAATGATGCTGGCATGACCAAATTTTGAAGGAACATCTCCCAATTACTTCGATGACCCGAGGGTGGTAGCCTTGATCACATGTTTTCCGTGGTTTTTCGTAGCATCAACTCTTGACACACCATACCGCTCCACCTATAAGTGCCCATATATATATATATATATATATATGTATAGTTATATACATATATATAGTTATATATATATATAACCATCATAGCGATAGGGGGCCCATATTCCAATACATCCAAATTTATGGGCTTAGAATCCAATGCTAGCATCAAAATCACCCCCGGCCCATGCCCCATGAAATCCCATGAGATGAGCATTTTTGGAGGGCTACCATTGAGCTCAAGTGCTGAATCATCATGGGTCTTATGAACGAACCCCATTCTAAAGCCATTCTAAAGCCATTCTAAAGCCAATCTAAACCCAATCATTTATTTTCCCAGGAAACGTCGCCGCCGCAGTTGGCTGGACAAGAAGTTGGGCCTCAGCATGGGATTTTGGACCCAGAAACCCATCAGCCGGGGAAGATTTCAACCAGTGACATCATGAGAAATGGGATTAAAAGGATATATAATAGTGATATAAGTGATAAGTGATATTAATAGGATCATAAAAAGGATCACTTGTCACTTATATATATATATAACCAGTAAATACAAACAATGGGAAATAGGTGGTTATAAGTGGTATAAGTGGTATAAATAGCTGAAATTAATGATATCGTAACCAGTAAATACCAACAAGATCATAAGTGATATAAGTGGTTGTGTCTGAAAATGGTGTATACCCCCAATGCGAAAGCAAACGAAAAAAAACTATTTGAGAGGGAAATTTGGATTGACCAATTTTTTGAGGGGTCGCCTATTTTCAGACAAACCCATATCATCCCATATCCAAGCACTTTTTTGGGATATGGAATATTTCATGGACTTGTGATATTATGGGATATTATGGAATATTATGGGATATTTCTGGAATTGGATATTTCTATTTCTGGATATTCATATTTGAATCACCCAGATATAGTAAGGGTTGGTTGAACCGGCGCGGAGCTAAAACGCCAAATTTTCGTGGGGGGAGCCGGGGACCAACCAGGATTTTTTTGGGGATATGGGGAAATCATTAGAAAATAGCAACTACCCTCTGGTTATTTGTTACATAGCCATGGTATAGATGGCCCATAGAAATAGATGGTTTACCGTTCTCAAGAATGGTGGATCTTTCCATGGCTATGTTAGTCATAACCAGATGGTAATAATGGCTACCCTAGCCAACATGGGGCATGTTGGGAGTAACCACAGAACTGTCCAGCTGGAAGCTGGGGGAAAACCCTGAGACATCGGCAAAGTAAGGAACTCAAAGAAGATCGATTATGTCCACCGTGTGGATATGCTGAAGATGATTCGCAGTGCCACGTGACCTGTGGACGCCTGTGGACTCCGGACCTGGACACCTGTGGACTCCGGACCTGGTAGAGCCTTGAAGGGATGAACGTTGACGATGGACTCTATTGGTTTGGCCATGACCAAGGCCATAACGATCTGTTGGTTTCATCTCCAAGTTGTGGTGTGTTCCATCGTCGGCCATGAAGGCCTCATTCCAGGTGAATGCTTCTGATTTATGTATCCAGATACCTGTTGCTTTTTTTGGTGCAAGCCATTTGCAAACCACGCTTCGTGCGAACAATGATCCCTGACATCCATCATTCCAAAACCAACTGGAAGAATCTGGGAAGCTATTCAGCTTGGTGAAGTTTTCACACAAAACCTATTATCATCATATGAATGGGGGAATAAACATTCATTACCCTCTAGTAAACTAACATAGCTATTGAACATGCCCATAGAAATAGTGGATTTTCCCATTAAAAATGGTGATTTCCCATAGTTTTTTGTATGTTTACCAGAGGATAACAATTATAGGGTACCAGGGTTTCCTTGCATTTGGGTGAACTGTGTGTACTGACTCATCCCAGCGCCAGGTATTTCAAGCTTCGCATCCGTGACTTTCCGAAGGATCCCAACCCCAACGTCCGCGAGACGCGCGGCATCGTGGGCAGCCACTTTGGCTAAGCCGGCGACCGAAACATCACGCAGTTTTTATTGGAGAATTTTAGCAGCTTGCTATCGAACATGAGCCATTTATAGATTCTTTAATAATATTATATAATTATTTGATTTACCTATTAAAACTGGGAAATTAATATTATTTTTTTTCTGAATTATTTTTCCATTTTTTTCCCATTGGTGATTTTTCATAGTCATCTTGCACTACCAGAGGGTACAGTAGGGCCAACCTTTTGGGGACACCGAAACATTGGATCCTGGATTTGTTTGGTGTCTTTATTTCGATGATTGAACACAGAAGCAACAAAGAAATGCGGGCTTGGGCCTGAAAATTTGGCCATGTCCAGTGAAAACTCAGCCACGATTTTCACCAGTTGAGAGGATGAATCTCTCAAGAATCATTTATAGATTTGGGTATGGGTCAATACCTATAGATAAAAATTTTTAGTGGGATGAACATCCATTTACCAGCTATTTTGATGTTCACTAGGTACCAGGGTTTTGACCCATCCCCATTTCAAGTACTTACGCAGCAACCAAGACCTGGTGAAACAGAGAACATCTCGACGCCATGGATTTGGGAATGGACTCCTCGGTTTTCATCGGTCATGGTCAGATGGGACTTGATTATGGTAGAACTCCAATGTGTATATAATAGCATATAAATACTTGCAAGACACATATATATATATGCTATAATTATATATATATATAATATCTTGGTAAATTCAATCTTGACGTGGAGTCATGATTTCATGGATGGGTGGCTACATGATGGACCAAAACGAGTGCTACCGTGCTCCTGGGGGCTGGAGACTTGGGCTCAAATGGCCCTATGGGAGCTATGGAATCCCAGATGGCAACATGAGTGATCCTCGAGAGTTCCGAGTGAGTTACCTTCAGACTTCAGACATTCTTTGGTATATGTAATATGTATATGCATTTTATATACATTATGTATCAGTATGTATCAACTAGATGTAAGATTGATAAATTTATAGTATAATGCAATTGTACAGATACTGTGCATGCATGTTGATTTCATTCTTCAAGGTTCCTTAAAACACATCAAATGTAAATTTTCTGAGGCATAAACGTCCGCCTACTTGAGTGTTGCCAGAATTAGCTAAGTCGTTAGTAACTGGGCTATATCCCGATACGTCGGAGGTTACATAGGGTAATAAAAGGGTTATTATTACCCAGTTACAAAGCATTTGACATCATTTAGCAGTAACGTCCAACCGTAGCCCCATTTCGTGGCACCATGGCGTTGTCGTTTTCGCCCCGGGCCGTCAGCGCCCTGTGTGGCTCTGCGCCGGCGTTGCCGCCGCGCCCGGTGCCGTGGGCCGCGGCGACCGCGACGTCGAGGTCGAGGGAGCTGCGGAGCAAAGGTGCCCACGGCGCTGGGGGTTGATGGGTCTAAAAGATTCGGAAAGTATGTATGAGATTGTATGTGGCTTAGTATAAGTATAATGTCTATGTGGGAGACAATGTGACATATCTATTAACCTCACAAACCTAGCATGACATATCTGATCATTCGTGAGATTTCGTGAGTATATCCCTAGCATGGTCCCAGAAAAAATGCCCCAGTTGTTGAGGATGGCTGAGGTGAACCATGGTGAAGCCATTGACCTGGGTTACCCATAGAATTCCCATAGTTTTTCTCGTGAATTCAATCCAAGTTTCCCAGGGTCCCAGGGTCCCAGGGGCCGTGCCGGCCGTGCATCGTGCATCGAACGGATCCCGGATCCCGAGGATCGCGTTTTGGGGAACTCACACGATCTTCGCTCAATCAACGTTTAAGGAAAGATGGAAAGTTACAGGATCTCTGTACAAGGATCCTCTACTGTAGTACAACTCGCAAAACCATGCAAAACCCCTATCAAGCACCGAAATCACAAGATATATACACAACCCAGATCTCTATGCAAGGATCCTTGGGGAACCTGCAAGATCTCTGCTTATGCAGACCCTTGGTTCGGGTGGTTCACAAGATCTCCACACACTGAACGAACTCACAGGATCTGATGTCGGAACTCACAAGATCTCCGCACCAGGACCCTTAAACTCGTAACATCTACTATTAATTATATAGTAACACAGTAATACTATGCCCCTCCGCTTTCCGAATACTGTCTTAGATGTCTTAGCATCTCGATACTAATTATTCCTGATGTGGGAAACCCACGAACAAACCTACCATTTGAGCCATTTCAAATGGTGATGATATGGTGATGATTTGGGGAGGGTTTTTGAAATTGGGTTTCCCAGATTATATATATAGATATATAATTTATAATAGATATTAGACTATGTAAGCCCATCGCTATATGACATTGGTGGTTGGTTATTTATACTTATACATCTATTATCTGCCATTTTCTATCCATTTCTAGTATTTACCGTCCCAACAATTCTTTGATATTCTAGATCTAGGCTAGGTGGTAATCATGTTTTTTCGATCTACCATTCAAATCCATGATGTTCTCCTATCTACCATTTAAACCACCCAATATTTGTTGGTTCGATCCATTGGATATATGACTTTAATATACGGAGGTTTCCTGAAATGGGGGTAGCCCAAAATCATCCAAAATTAGACTATCTCAATGTTGAAAGCCATGGTTTTGGGGACGCCATGGGACCATATGGGATCCAGAATTCTAGGAAACCCCCAGATGAATGATGCGTATGAAACCAATATTTGATATATGATTGGTAATAATATAATATATCAAATATTGGTAATAATATAATATATCAAATATTGGTATTCATAATTATTTATTATATTTGATTCATGATTCAATGATCATTACCCTCTGGTAAATTAACTCGTTGAGCCTGAAAATAGCCGTATATAGCCAGAAATTTGAATGGAACTAATCTTCCAATCCCCATCTGGCAGGGTCTATGTTAATTTACCAGAGGGTAATAATTGGCTTATTTCTTGGGACCCGTGACACCGTGACACCGTGACACCTCAAGGTCTCGCAGTGCTGGCCGCGTCGGCCGTGGCGCAGGCGGGTCCCCTGGATTAATAACCCCCAAACGGCTGTTGAATTGGGAGGGTATCATTTAAGTATGAGATGAAATGACTATTGGAAGAGTACCCCCCCCCATTAATAAACCATGGTATAGCAAAATCTGGGGTTGACATTAGTCATGGATAGTCCATTTTCAGACAAAGCCAGCAGCAAAAATCATCTCCATGATTTTACTACGGTGGATATTTTGAAATACCTGGAGGGCGGTCCTTGCCTGCGGGGCTACGGAGGTAGTCTAAAATATCTGTTCAGGTTTAAATCGAATGTTTAAAAGTTCCGCAGCCTTAACTTTCCTACTGTTTCATTGACTGGCGGCCCGTAGTGATATCTAGGATCTAGCAATTATTTTTTAGCAACCTGGAACCAGCCTTGACCTCTCCACCCTCACCTGCAAATCTCAATTCTTCCAGCTTGGAATTTTCTAGACCTTCCAGAAACCTCCAACTCTAGCAAGCTCCTCAAAGTTTAATCGACCTAAAGTAGCTCCGAATGTTTGTTTTATTTATTTTCCGACTGTTTAAGTTGACATAAATGGACGAGGCGGCCAGCAAACCTTCACGGTGGTAGTATAAAAATGTATAAAAAACAATAAAATACCTATTGATTTGTTTTAAAATCCGACTGTTTAAACATCTACGCTGTATTACTTTGATGGGATATAATCTGTATAATGGGATATAATCCTATCCCCCATCCCCCATTCATATTAAAAGTTATTAAACACATCCCAGAAATGGTCCCAAATAAGTGACAATCTCGTACAAAACCATGGTTTCTATGCGGTGTTTAATATTAGGGGAAGGGATTAGTGATATCATTTCAGTATTTTTCAACCTATCGTGACTTTTTTTGATCCCCCATTTTGAGAAACCCCCATGACTGGGAAATGCAATTTTTTGTTTGGGGAATAGCCATAGCTAAATAATGAATTGAAACCAAGGATTTAGATTAGATCCTGGTGCTTTTGGGTTTGAATATGGACCTAGCCACCCAAAGAAGGTTAATAGAAAGGTATGACGCGGATTATGTTTATGAAGAGGAAGTATGAGAGGAAGTATCGGGGGTGAGCGTACTCATTTTGTTGGATCTCATACAGTTTGTTTGTTGATTTCCATTGTCTGGCCGGGGGCAGGCCGGCCATAGTTCCAATTTGTCCGTTTTCGCCCCCAGTTTCACTCGCCATTTATTTCCACTGTTCCAAATTTATTGCCCAAAGATTCCACATTTCAGACAGATCCCACTCTCCACTTGAGTATGACTGCAAATAGGCTACCCCAAAACCACCAATGTTTTGTCATCATTCTCCCCATTTTTGATGACAGTCTTGCGCTTTGGACAGATTTTTTTTCGGGCTACGGGTACCCGCCCATCCAAATTAAACTTTAAAAAAATAGGAAATTTTGAAAGCTATCAAGTGACTTGGGGATTTCCCATAAAAAAACATGCACCAACTCTCCGTCCATGTCCCACATCCCAATGACTCCCCCATCGCGGCACGGGCACGGCAAGGTCACCCGGACACGGCCTGGTGCGGGTGGGGCGCCAATGGGAACCTCTGGGATGGTCGGAGTTGTGGGGATTGAACCCACCAATGAGCTAATAATACTTATTAAATCTTATTAATATACATGTGTATATATAATTATATATATTGATATAGTTTTTATAATAATTAGCGATATAGTTATTATATTGAGCTAGACAACTTTAGCAGCTGGCATAATTTGAGCAACAGCCACAGTGGCGACCCTCAACAAAATGATGGTTCGCAGGGGTCTCGGTCTGCCACTAGAAGTTGGCAGAATCTGTGCATACCTGTGCATCCTAGGGTCTTTTACAAATTCGGTCCAGAACCAGAATCCAAAACATCTTGCCCCGTTTCGACCAGCATAGAAATTGGGATGAAATTGGGATGATTTGCCATTCCCAAACCATAGAAATTGGGATGAAATTGGG